TAAGATATGAGAAAACAACACATACTCTGAAGACTTAACCCTTGGTTTCCTGTTTAAAAACCCAGCAGTCACAGATTTACTTAATGGTTTCCTCCTTCTCAGCTATGCAAATTTTCAAAGGTACAAAGAGTCACAGCTTTTAATAAGAACAAAATAATAAAGGTTGTATTTAAAACTGTGAGTGTGATATGTGAGTTCTTTTTAAACACGTTACTTCACAAATCTGCTTTTGTGTGGCCAGAGTCAAAAGGATGCAAACCTCCAGTGAAAGTCCAATAAGAGTGGCGAGAGGCAGGGAGGAACCTTATAAAACAAAAACTGGTGCAAGAGGAATTGAAACCTGTAGCTGCAGCCTCCTCTTGTGCAAACTAGTTTCACAGGATTTACAGGCGGCATTTGTGTCGTGCTTGCATGGCTTTGTTATTGAGGGAAGAGGATCTCCCATAAGGAACTGTGAATGCAAAGGAATGAGAAGATATTTTACATGACAATATGGAAGAATATTGACCTGATGGCCCTTTGAATTTATTGTATAAATCTGCTTAGGTTTGTACTCTTCCTTGATCATTGCCAGCAGGTTGAGGGATGTCCTTCAGCTCTGCATTGCTGAGTCCATACCTGGATTGCTGGGTCTAGTTCTGGGCTCCCCAGTGCAAAAGAGACCTGGAACTGTTAGAGAATCCGGTTAAAGGCTGTGAAGACAATGGGAAGGCATAGAGCAACTCCTTTCTTATGAAAAGAAACAGCTGGGACTGTTCTGTCTGGAGAAGAGAAGGGTCGGGGATTTTCTGTTAAGTGTTGAAGGGAGAGTGCAAAAAGAGAAGGGAGCCAGTGGTGCCCAGGGACAGGTCAGTAGGTGCAAACAAACATCAGGAAACCCTTCACTGTGAGGGTGACCCAGCACTGCCTGGAGGCTCTGGAGTTTCCTTTTTGGAGATCTTCCAGAGCCACATGGGCTTGGGTGCCTTGCTCTGGATGTCACTGCTGGAGCAGAGGCACCCGGAGACCCCTTCCAACCTCAGCTATTCTGTGATCCTTTGACAAACTCTGAGTATCTGTATTATAGTCAGCTTATTCCAATATCTTTGCTAATGATATGAAAGAGTGCATAAGTGACACATCAGATTATTTCTAATTGTGGTTAATTCATATCTGAGAAATTAAAGATAATGCAAGTAGCCTGGGAAGAGATGGAAGGGAGGAAAAGAAGACTGATAAGCACTTGAAAGCTAAAGAAGGTGTTCAGGACTTCACTGTTGAAGACCAGTTGCGTGTGAAGCTTTGAGCTACTAGCTGAGTTCTTTCTAGCAACTGCAGGGAGCCGAAAGGACAGGCTGCTCATCAGAGGGTGTAATCAGGCTCAGGCAAGAGTCAGATCATCAGGCTACTCTGTGATATGAAGTCAAGTCTAAGAACAAGCTGGGAAGTCCAACTGGTAAGTTGGAGCCTGAACCCAGATGAGAAATCAGCATTGTGCTCCAGGCCACCTCTTTGATGCGGAACTCCAGAGGACAGGAAGCTGTGTGCCAGTCTTCATGCTGAAGGTAGCAAAGGGGAAGCAGACTCCAGAGAAAAGTGAAAGGATGGCAGCAGATCAGCTGGTTGAGAAGAGATCGGTCCAACTGGTATGGAACAGGGAAATGATGAACAGAGGTGCTTCCTATCACCACGGAGAGATGGGAATCTGATTAGAGAACAGGTCGTGGCTCACCTATCTTAAGCTCTCTTGCTCTCTCCAGAAATCCATACTTACTTAAAACTAAACAAAGCAAATTCTTTCTCTTCTTCTCTGTACTCCTTCCTCCAAAAAGGATGAAGAGAAAAATGATTGGACTGAGGAGGGAAACAGGAAGGAAGGAATGAAGTGAGATAGTGAGTGATAGTGAAACAGTATTCTGGACATAAGAAAACAGATGGATCTCTGTTGGCCGGTTATGTTGGGATGTCTCACTGGAGTAAAATCTGAGAAGTTTGTAGTGCAAACTGGCAGACATAAGTGTTCCTTTGTTCTTGGAAAGTAGTATCAAGATGGTTTATAATTATCTTCAGAGTCTGTTTAATAAATAAGTTCTTGTTGCTATGCTTGTGTTGAGAGTCAGGTATTGGTTTGACTGTTCACTCACAGTGTGACTTTTCTGCTCCTTGGCTTGCTTACTGTGCTCTGTAACTCAGGAGTATCCTGCTGTTCTGTGGCATCAGCTGCCGTGGAAGTACAGACTCTTGTCCTGTGATTTTGATTCTTTAAACAAGATCTCTAAAGCTAATCCTCAGTGATTATAATCACTAGTTTGTTCCCCGGGCAAAATAGGATTATGGCATAGAGATCAGGTTGTATTAAGGATGCTAATCTGATTCGGTTTGCAGACACTGTATTGTTGGACGACTGAATTGTTTCCTATATTTTTTTGTAAAATCTTTCCTGGTTGAAATTATTTGTCTTAATAGTGCTTGTCATCTTCCAGTAATTCCATCTGAGAACCGTAATCTGTAAAGTAAATAGTAATCTGTAAAGTTACTTATAAAATTAAGGTGTACGTAGATACCTCTTTCTTACAGTACAAAGACAATATTGATTCTTTCTCAAAAATATTTAGTAGTGTTACTGTTGAAGTGTCGAGGAGACATAAAAGCTTTAGTCACTGACTATATACAGAATTGGCTGTTGCCTCGTCTGTTTTTCGGTTCCAGTCCTGACAAAATACTTGTCATGAGCAAGACTGTGGTGTAATTTCACAGTTTTCCCAGTTTTTGAACTTGTTTCTAAGATTTAATACTGTCAGTATGCAGACCAGTCAATGACAAAATTGGTCTGAGGTTACTGAAATTCCTTCAGCCTATAACATGGAACATTTTGTCAGATGGTGCAAATTTTTTTGTTGTTACCTGAGGTTGGATTGTGGCTTTTTACCCTAGGACTTACTCAGAACTGTGTTTCTTTGGCCGTGCACTGATTTGCTATCCAGTAACTGTGTGTCACTCTCAGAATGATAAGTCAGCACAGCACAGAGGCTGCGGTATTGCTAGCTTTCCTGCTTTTGCTACAGATTGAGCAATGTTGGGTATTAATAATTTGTATATCCATGGCAGCAGCTGAGGCTTTTGATTGAGGAACTTAGGTTTTCCTAAAAATAGTAAGTTGCTATTCTTCATGATTGGACAGAAAGATTTGAAAGCATGCACTGGATGTGTGTGAAAGATAGAATAACTAGAAACAACAACAAAAAAAATTGATCATAGTAAAAATAATTTTCAAAAACAACAGCAAAAAAAAAAACAAAAAACCCAGCCCTCATGATTTATAGAGACAGACTCCTGACCTTTGAACACTTGTGGCTGAAAGAGCTGGTGTGTAGGCGTCCAGACCTTTCTGCTTGCTTTCACATGCATGCCATTTCTACTGAGTTAGAGATCTATGTGGTTTTGGTTACAAAAGCTTTTCCACTGTGATTAGCTTTCCTTTTGGTCTGGTTTAAGCTTGCCTATGTTCTTTTATAACATAAACATGTTCTTGTCCTCTTCATCTTGAAATCCCATTTTGAAATATCCTTAAAAACTTTGTATTTTTTTGGCTTTGTTTTAGACATTAATGTATATGGTTCTGTGCTTAAGGTCTGTGGTGTTAATGGTAATCAAAAGCAAAAAAAAAAAAAAAAAAAAGCAACAAAAAAATCCTGAAGTTCTGCACGCTGGAGAGGTGAAGTCTAAAATTTTCCTCTGTTAGGAGCTGGGTGAGAGTTGGCAGAGTTCTTCAACTCCATGCAGTTTAAAAACATGGGTTTCATGTTGCAGTCTCTGTAACCTAGCCTACATGGGACTCCTTGTCACTGTTAATGTTTGCACTTGTCAAACGGAACAAAACAGGAGAGGAGAGGAGGCTGTAAGCACCTAAAAAAGTAGGTCAATGGGGCAGCAGGTTATTTGGCCAGAAAAGAGTGAGTGGCTTCATTGAATCATGCCGTAATTGTTTTTCCTCTTTTTGGCAGATTGTTCTACTGTGTTTTAACTTCCTATGTTAATATTTATGTCTTGTTTTTAACCACTTAAGAGTCTCTGCTAGGTGCATTGGAAGGAGAAATTTAATTTTTCTAATCGAATACTTTAAAAAGTGCAGAAATAATTCTGATGTTTTCAGTAGCATTAATGAGTTTGAGAGTAGCATAAGCTTTGTTTTTAGATCGTGTTTTTGAATTTAATGCTTTTTGTAATAAGATTTGTAGAAAGTTTTATGAATGCGTTGTTCAGTGAATTCATTTTATTTTAAGAACAGAAAGCGAGGCAGAGAGAAATGAGATAAAGGCAGGAAGAAAAAACAATTTTAAGTAACTTAGAAACGTAGGAAGTAGCGTGGTGTGAGGGAAAGACTATAAAAATACATTCCAATGAAAAGAAATAGTTTAGAGGTATCAGAAATTGAGGATCATTTAGACTGATTTTCTTAATGCAAATACTGCACTTGTGGGGTTAGTTTGGAATATGTTTTTGGAATGGTTTTTGAACTGGGTTTTGAAAGAAGAATTTAATGTCTGTCTGAGGCAGCATCAATAATGCAGCTGGACAACTTTGCTAGTCACCAGCAGCATTCTATACATTCTGCAGTCCTGAGAGTAGCAATTCTGAGGGTTTGAAGAAGAGAAGGCATCAGTGAGAAAGACAGCAGAGGGCCAAGTAAGTTTTAGCAGAAGAGACGCTTAAATCACGGTGTACAGAGTTGCTTTGCAGGTAGCAAATGAAAGCGAAGATGTAGGTGGTGTGTTTGATACCACATTTAAAAGTAAAAATGATGTCAAGGTTAAAGATAGACATAAAGTGACAGCAGCTTGAAGCAGAGCAGTTTTAGGATATACTGTTTTACAAGGAAGAGAGCTTTAAAGCAGGGTGAATTCTGACAGTGAAAGTAGGCAGAATATGGCATTAATAAATCACATGAATACTTTTTTATTTAGAAAATAATAATTCTGTAATTCATTGACTTAAAAACTCTCCTTTGTGATTTTTTACAGTTGAAAATTTAATGCTTTTCTGTAAAAGAGGATACTCCACATTATTCTTGAGAAGAACCAGCGTTTCATCTCTAAACCATACACTTTAACAAGTCCCAAAGTATAAAAGGTAAAATAAAAGGTATTCTTTTAATTAATAAAATTCCTCTGGCTTTCTGTCATCAACACAAAAGGCAGTGGCAAAGTAGTGTCTTTTATTACTGTAGAACGTGACTGAATTTGATTTTTAGAAATAGACATAGTCCTTGATCTCTGTGCTGTTCGCTTTAAAGTTGCCTGATTTCATTGGATGTATCTCTGCAGTCTTATCCACTGACAGGGATCACTGGCAGTTACAATTTCTTGCTACTTTGGATGCAAAGGCTCAGACCTTGAAAAGTGAGAAAAAATGCACTATGTTTACATTTTAGATAGATAGTTTTTAAGTTCCTTTAATTGTCTTGGATGCCAAATCGAATTGCCAGTTCTGACAGAAGATCTGTATACTGTAAAAAGGGAAACTAGAAACTGAGTGCTTTGTTGAAGTGAAAAATATTGGCTCTTGAATTCTGATTCTGCATAAGGAAGATGTCAGTTATGTCACAAGTTGTATTTAGTGAAATACACTTAGCTATATATTTTTCTTTTGCATATTAATGGAACAGTGTATCATTTAGCCAATGGAATTACATGTTACTCTTGATCCGTATGAGTTCCCAAATTGTTTAAAAATTGATGCAGGGTTAAAATTGTAACTAATGCATACCTCTATTAGTATTGTATGATCTAAATGAATTCCAGTCATCTTTAATTCTGTGCTAGTGATGGTAGATTGCTTTTACAGCTGAGCAATGTAACCTCTGTGCTGTTGCTTACTTTTCACAAAAATTTGAACAAAAACTTTCAAAATTTATTTTTCTCTTGCTATTTCTGCCTTGTTTTCAAATAATACAGCTTTGTTACTTTATAAACCTTGGCCAACAAATGTAGGGAATTTAGTTTGTAGGAATGGCCAGTACAATTGCTATTTTGAAGTATTTGAGTGGTAGAATGGTTTACTTCAAGTGTCTCTCCAGGGCACTGGACTTTGGAGAATAAATGCAACACAAAGTTGGGCCTTATTACTTGAAGAAGTGGTTAAGAGGGCTCTTAGGCAAAATTGCATGCACACTCTGCTATGTACCTTGAAGGAGACTGTGCTGCAGCCCAGCTTTCTCATTTATTTTTCCCATTGTGCTCAGTTCTGAAGTTTGGTTTGAACATAAGCTTTCTTCCTCGATTTCCTTTTCTGTTAAAAAACTGGGGTTAGCTCTTCCTGGAACATTTTATTGACTGATTGGATCATGAAGTAGCAGCTGCCATATTTCTTGTGGTATTACCACTGTTCTGCTGGATTTGGCACTTTCAGAAACAAATAAATCCTTCCTTCTCAGAAATTGTGAGTTACTGAAGTGACTAAAATGAGCTCCTTTGAAATGGATGTAATTCCTGTTTAATATTAATTTTATAGCATTTTAAAAACACCTGAAAATCTGCAACTGTAGCTCTTATAGAAAACTTTTTGTTTCACACAGTTGTTCCTTAATCTCTTACGTTCCAGTCCTGCTGCTCCATAAGCAGTTTTGACTACTGACTTTTTTGTGTCAAAGAGAGAGATTTTACTGCATTGTTTTATCTTTGGCATTCAATCTTTCTGTACACCTGTGTAGTTCTGTAATGTTTGGGTACCAGCAAGTAGATATTTCTTGAAATAAATACTTTAATTTTAAATCCCCAAATTTGGAGCCAGGAAAAGGCCTATATTGGCTTTGTCCAAATTTATTGGTTATGACATTTAAAGAAGCAGTGTTCTTTTAAACTCTGTCATGTAAAATAAAATATTAAAGTTCAGGTTATAATGGTAATGGAGACTAGATTAGAGAAGATGGCAATACAGAGCAGGAGACTGAGAGGAGATTAAAATCAGTTTAAAGAACAAGTAAAAACAAGTATGCTCTAGTGAAGTATGTGGTTATTCCTCTGGAGTTACATTTTGATTTTTTTTCTTTTCCTACAGGCAAACGTACAAATGTCTACCACAAGACTAAAGTGTGCTATGTTATGTTTTTTACCATAAGCACCCATAAAATGAGCTCCATTGCAGACAGGTATGTTTATAGAAACTGTGAGTTTTGAGGGAATTACTATTAAATATTTTCTTTACTGATTTTATTCTTACAGTTAATATACAGACAACAATAATTTATGCAAAAAAAAAAAAAAAAGTGGTGAGGTTTTGGCTACTTTTGGCCACTATTTTGGTTGTCTTTAAATGTATTGTGTTGTAATAATTGAAAATAGTTTATTTTATTGCTTGAGATGAATCTTAAAATGTATGACTTTTTTTCAAACATGGACCAGCATCTGTGCAAGTTGAGTTGATTTTTATTGCTTACTTGATTATTTTTTTTAAAAAAGTACTTCAGTGTTTGATTAAGGAAAACAAATACACTTAAATGATTAGTGGTACTACATTTGAGAGTAAAGTGACCTGGTAACCTATTTCAAGGGAAAAGTAATAGCTGGGGCATGGTTTCTACTTGATTCCTTGCCCTAGACTTCCTTAGCAAGCTTGGGTGAACATCTGTCCCAAATATACTGCTTATTACCATTTCTGAGATTTCAGGAAATGAGACTTGCATAAAATTTACAGAAAGTTAAGCCCATTCTGAATAAAACCCAATGAATATAAAAGATAAATGTTTTAAAATACTTCTATGACTTTTTATTTTTTTAGTGAAGTTTTACTGAATCTCACTGAAACTTCAGCATTTTGAATATGCGAATTCTTTCTGAAAGTTTCATGTTAATGTAGTGACAGAAGATAATTACTTCCTAACATCTCTGTTTGTCATCATATGTGATTACTTGATGATTTATCGCTGTAAATCAGAGGAATGAAGTAAGCTTTTTGAATGGACAGTTACTTGCCTCTAGGGAAGGAAACAGGAGGTTAAAAAATTAAGGTTGGACGCACAGTAGCCAGTGGGTAGATAACACTAAATAAACTGAATGCAGACAGAAGAAATGAGAGAAATAAATTATGAGTCAATTATACAGCAGTTCTGGAAAATAGAAGAGCAATTTCAACTTCACTTTTAAAAGGAAATCAAATAAAGTGTATAAAGTATACTGAGGCTTCTTAAAAGTAAAATGTTCTCATTCTGATATCTTAAAACCTCTTCAGCAATACATGCACAATTTTCAAGTTGAGTAAAAATTGTGATACTTGTTCAGGAACAAAATATAATGAATAATTAGTGTTACTGTTTAGAGTTAATTATATATGCAAAAAATTACTTGCATGGATGAAGTATAGCATGTTCCTGAGCTCTCTTCCATTACTGATGTATTTAAGGCAAAGCAAGTACTTTCTTACTGTAATTATTTCCAATATTGTAATAGATGTGAAAATGTCGAAGCAACAAATTTCCCCTGTAATGTTTTCAAAAGGATAAGGTAAATTAATTATTTAATTAAGAAGATGGAAAAATAGAATTAAATAATTCTTAATTAAATGTTTGTGTAGAGTCTTGAGTTTGCATTAGAAATATCCTAAAACTAGTTTGGGCTGTGGCAGAAATGTAAGTCCCTATGCTGTCTGCTAAATAACCAGCCTACAAAAAGAACAGACTTGTCTTTGGGTTATTGATAGTGGCCCTTGTGAGACGTTGCAGTAATAAAACAGTGCTTCAGTTTCTTGATTTTATGGAAATGATGTATAATGAGTTCTCTCTTTTGTTGTTTTTTTTTTTCCCCTCATTATTTTTGGTTCTTTCAGAAATGATGGAAGCATTTTTGATGGTCTGGTGGAAGAAGATGACAAAGATAAAGCGAAAAGGTAATTTTTCAGTTCACCTAATTCTAAGAATATCCTATGCTTGTACCTTTGGACCAAGATTTCTCAGTGGAATAAAAACACATGAGTCTTTTGTAAGTAACCGCATTTTAAACATTATTCAAGCATTTCTCTTGCTGTTATTCTCTAGAATTGTGGTGTATTTATTTGTATTTTTGTCCAACTGGGTCTGTTGCAAAGTGTACCCTTCCTTGAGAAGGATACCATTCTTTCAAAATGTTGTGGTTTGGAGTAAGGGTGACAGTTCTTACAGTGAGGGTTTGTAGTATGTATCTTATTATAAGTTCTCATCATTGCTATAAAGCATTTTCTGTTTTATTTGTCAGAGTGTCTAGAAACAAGTCTGAAAAGAAACGTCGAGATCAATTTAATGTTCTTATCAAAGAGCTGGGTTCCATGCTTCCAGGTAATGCTCGGAAGATGGATAAATCCACTGTACTACAGAAGAGCATTGACTTTTTACGGAAGCACAAAGGTAATTGTAACAAGAAAAAATACATTTGTAAATTATGATAGTATTTATGATAGTATTTATGATATGCACGAAGTACATAAAACATTAACATTTGTGCAGCTCCTTGAAGGGGATTGTCAAAAATCTGAAAAGCCTCCGAAGAAAGATATTCATATGATCATAATTTAGGTACCAGATGTATTACTATATTTTTTACAGTATTTTTCAAAATCAGTATATATATATTTTTAATCCCGTAGCTGTTGAGCAAGTCTGTTTCATTAGGAGAAGCATTTATTTTCTAAATAACCTTGAAGTTGTTTGAGCTGGGCTGATGGAGACCTCTATTATACAGTTGCTTCATAAGGTGCAAGCTGTCAAAGTTTTGCTTGTCAAGAGAGCTCTGCTGATCCATTTTAGTGAATGTATTTGTTGGAAGCACTTATTTTGATACTTAGATTGTGCCTTGAACAGTTGGTTTGTCTCTCCTGCTTCCATATAAAGCAAGATGAATTACCGAAAAAACTAAACAAGATTAAAATTCAAGAAAACAAGCTCTTTCCCTAGTTAAGCCATTTCCTTGAGTAATTTCTTAGCTTGTATGCTAATTAGAAAGCTGTAGCAACAAAGGAAGCAGCTATTAGTTAGCTATAAAATAAAATAAGTAGGCTGTTAAGTGTGTGAATAAGTATTTGTTTATCCCACAGTGTGTAAGTTCAAGGTATGTTAAGATATGGTAAATATTCCCTTAGTATTATTAACACAGTTGAAGCATCAGCAGATGTGTTCTGCATAGTGCCATTGAATAAACTTAAACTTACTTTTTTTTCTGTTGCTGTTTTCATTCTATTGTTGTTTTTTGTTGTTATTTGAGTGTGTGTTTTTGGTTGTTTTTGGTTTTGAGGATAAAAGAAAGCTGTAGGAGTGGATATGTCTTAAGGCCTTGGGCATTTGTCCTTGACCTAATGGGACAGAATATTTGTGTGACTGCAGTTATCATATTAAGGTACCTAAAGCTCTGGCAGCCAGTGCTTACCAGCATTGTTCTGCACAGGTTTACATTACAATATTTTGCACAAAATGTTGGCTAAGGTCAGACGCTTGCTTTGCCTCCTGAGGTCCTTGGATCTGTTCATTATATTACTCTAGCAGTGAATAAGTTGTTCAGCAAAGATTGCCTGCTTTTCTGTTGAAAATCCTACTGTGTTCAGCCACCAGATTTAGATTAAGTATGTTGCTTCTGGTTCTTTCTGGACCACTTCTACTTTGACTAATCTTGGTACACTGGGAACAGGTCCAGATGAACTGTCTGATTTGTTTATTGGCAAGAGTGGATTCTGCTTCTTATTGTAAACAAACAAACAAACGAAAACCAGCAGGCTGAGCACACTGAAATTACTCACTTTGTAATGCTGCTTTGAATACCTTGAATTTGCAAGCAAAAAAAAAAAAATTGAAAACACTAGAATAATGAAGAATTGATAAATGAGCAACATCCACACATAGAGGAGACTGGAGAAACTTTTGCATTTCCTGCTGCTAATATGTGGCTTAGTGGAAAAAACAGTGGCTTCTAGGAGTGTGAATCCTTATATTGTATTTTTTATTTTATTGTAGAAATTACTGCACAATCAGATGCCAGTGAGATACGACAGGACTGGAAACCAACATTCCTTAGTAATGAAGAGTTCACACAGTTAATGTTAGAGGTATGTTATTTCTGTTTTTCTGGAAGTAGAATACTACCTCCTAGGGAGCTGTGAGTCCTTGGTGACATTTTTTTGTTTGGTGGCTTATCTTTCATTTGCATATTTTAATTCCATCTATGTTTTCTTGAAGGTAAACAACTGAATTTTCTATGTATGTTAAATGTATATGGTAGTGCAATAGTTGCTTCTGTTTTGCTAGCTGTTTCTAGTATTTCTCAAGTCTTCTTACAAAGTATGTGTTCACAACTAGTGACTTACAGTTAGAAGAAAATGGTGTAAGATTTTTGAAGATGTGACCTTTAAAATTTCCTATCTAGAAATGCAATTCCGTTTGGTAGTTTTCTACCAAAAGTCAGTCAAGTTTTTTCAGCAGGATTATGTTTGAGTTAAGTAGAAGATAAAGCAATCAGAAGTGTGTTTCACAGTATTTAAGCTTAAGTAAGATCTTGCTACAAGTTTCTCTTATTGAAATTGGAGATATTGAGACTTTAAATATTGAAATGCATTGATTTACCACCTCTTTCATTTGTTCTTTTTATCCTTTCTCCTCCTTTTCTTTCTTTTGCTGCTGGCTCGTTTTCCTGAGCTTTCTGGTGTTTAAAATGATGGTGTAATTAAAAGTAACAAGCAGACAAGATGGCCTGCCACAGAGCCAACTTAACAACAGCTAGATGCGTCGGGACCAAAATCTTGCCTGTTAAATCATAGATTATTTGAGAACAGGGCAATATGGAAATTGTAATGCTCACAGTGTAAAAGCAAGACTGAGAAGTTTTAATACAGAATTCTCATTGTAAATTCAGTTAAAATTGGTCTAAATTCTTTTCAATGTTGCATATAGTTTAACATTTTTAATATGCAGTGTCTTTTTATTTAACTGCCTATTATGTTTAATTTCAGGCTCTTGATGGTTTTTTTTTAGCAATTATGACAGATGGAAATATAATATATGTATCTGAAAGTGTAACTCCTTTACTTGAACATTTGCCAGTAAGTATGAATCGCTTTCAGTAATGTGCCTGTTTGTCTGTGGATAATATTTTACTGTCAGTACTAATAATTTTTGTTCTTTTGGACATTGTAGTGCAGATGTGTACAGTATTCTAATGCTTTTGCACAAATCCTTGCTCCTGGTTTGTGTCTTATGTTAAACATTTCCTTTGGATATGCAGAATGCAGTCAGTGGTCTCTTATGCAAGATTAAGAAGTACTAGACTAGCATCATTTTCTCTTCAACATGACTATGACAGCAGATGTCACTGTAGGAGATCCTCTACATTTCACACCTATCGTGGTCTCTACATGAATCAGAAGAGTATTGCTGAAGAGCAGGACCTTGGGTTTTTTTAAACTAATTTTTTTCTGCTTATTTGCCAAGGATCTCTCATAAGAAATTCATTATTGCTGATTCTGCTTTTTAGGCTAGGTGAATACTTTGAATTTTATTACATTCACTCATCTTTAATTTTGGTGACATTTCTCACTGCTAAATTAAACGTTCTAGTTTTTAGAAGTTACCTTTGAATAACATTACTAAGAAATGAGAAACATTAGTACTCAAAAATGTACAGTTGATGAGTGGAACAGAGCTTTTTCTGGAAGAGGGGGACAAATTACTGGTACAGGCTAGTTGCCTTGTAGTGGTAAGAGAACTTTGCAGAACGTGGAGTGACATATTTTAAAAATGGTTCTGCCAAATAAATTCCTATAAGGTACGCATGATATCAGCTTAAAAATTTTGAAGGTTGTACAATTGTGGTTTTTAAAATTTATAGTTTACCTACTTGTCAGGGGCATAGCTATCCGTTTCTGTTAGATGTGATTTATATATTCTTAATATATATTCCTGTGATCTTTTCTGAATACTTTATCAAATAGATTTATGCATATAAACATGCATTAATTTTAATTGAATTCATCTGTATACCCCTAGTGCTGTGTGTATAGTTGTGAAACTGATGATAAAACACATTCGTAAATCATTCCCAATTGGATATAATTATTGCAAATATTGCCAACTGTGTGATGTAGGGAGGTGCTGCTTTTTGTTTGGATGTGCTGATTGCCACTGATGGATTACAGTGCACTAGACCACCATTACATAATTTCTCATCTAAATGCTGCTTTATTTACCTCCCAAAGAGATTAATAGAAGTTCCACTGTGCTTAAATGTGTGTGCATATCTGATGCATTCATGGCTTTTTCATTAAACAATTCACAGTATCAGAACAAGTGAAAATGGTGGATTTTTTTACTTGCAAAGTGTTCGCATGTAATCCAGCAAGTGATGTTAATGAGTTGCTAATATTTTAGTGATATTTTTCTGATCTGTGGAATTGTTTTGCACTCTAATAGTAATGTTTGTGATTCTGTACGTCTTGCATTATTTTAAAATGTATTAAATATTTTTCTTTCAGTCTGATCTTGTGGATCAGAGCGTATTTAATTTTATCCCAGAGGGGGAACATTCAGAAATTTATAAAATTCTGTCTTCTCATCTGCTGGAAAGTGATTCATTGACACCAGAATACTTAAAATGTAAGTAGTTGCATTAAAAACAATCCACTTCATATTGTATGTGATTAGTTCTTTTTTCCAGTGCTGTATAAGTGGAAATGTGTGGATGAGGCGTGCAGAATGAAACGTGCAACTTGAATGGAAGCACTTTCATGCTGTGCTGTTCCTCTTTTCCCTGAAGAGTAATTTTGGATTGCATGGCATTTCACTCAATGACTTTGTTTACGTGGCTTCTATTTAGACCATTCTAGCAGCTGACAAGAATGAAAACAGGCCATGGGTGTTGGAAGGACATAAAGTTATGTTTTGGGCAGATGCTTGTTTAAAATAGTTCTATTTTTTTTCAAGGGATCTCTATGTCATTGGCATTCAGTCCTTTCATACACACATTCCAAATGAGTTCTCCTTTTCTTTAGCTTAGCTAATATCACACTGGTTAAAAACAAAGGCTGTAGCTATTTGTAATCACCACATTTACAGTATCTCGGTAAAGTACACAACTTAATTATTCCTGCTTTCCATTTCTAGTTGCCTGTGTGTTTCATCAACCACGCAATCTTTTAATTTGTTCTTTTCTCAGCAAAAAATCAGCTAGAATTCTGTTGCCATATGCTGCGAGGAACAATAGACCCAAAAGAGCAACCTACATATGAATATGTAAAATTTATAGGAAATTTCAAGTGTTTGAATAATGGTAAGTAATATCAGTCACATTAAAGTGGAATACTTTGGGATCTTCATACCTGAACAGGCTTAGGATAATTATGCAAAACGTAAGGAAAAACTAAAATCAGTCTTTGAAAAGAAGAGCCAGAAACAGAGTTACATCAATTTTTTGTTGTTTTAATGAAAACAAAGACTGCCCATCAGATATTACACATATGTGTATTTGAAAGCAAAATATGAAGTCTTTCAGTTAAAGAAAACTGCAAAACATTCTTAAATAGAGAGTAAGAGAAATTTAAGTCAACACTTTGAAGTAAGAGCCTGAATTAATTTAAGTATAATCCATATTTAAGCAGGTGACTGAGTAACTTGAGGATACTAAGTATCCGCCGTTCTCTTTATTCTTGTAGTGAGCTGACAAGTAAAAATGCACATTCTGCACTTCCCCCCCCCCATTTCTACTTTCACTTGCAGGAGTTGCTACTCAGATCAGTGGATGGACCATTATAGAATTTCACTTTTCTGCACTGAATGACTTCTCTCATCCACTAAAGTTATTTTTGTTCATTATTTCCACTTTTGTACTACAGTATCTTAAGTTTGTTTGGGCAGCCTATGCTGAGCAGCTGCTTGAGAGGCACATCTGTTTGGTTAGTCAGACAGGTTGATTGTGGGCTTCTCAAAAATAAATAAATAAATAAATAAAAATAAAAAATTATCAAATACTGTGTCTTGCAAATCAACTGACTTTTTTCATAGGGTGGGGAGAGGTGGAGTGTTAGAGCCAAAAGCAAGTATCTGATACTGTAAGAAAGCTAGAAAAACAGGTCTGTCAAAATGAAATATAGTGTTAGTCTCAGAAAAAGGAGCTGGAGAACTGTGGGCTTATAAGTTGCAATTCAAGATTGGTAATCATAGAATCATAGAATCAAATATTCCCAAACAAATAGCTGAACTATCTAGGAGCCTCAGGAAGCTAACAAGGAGTGGAGCAGCAGCCATTATGGACTTTTCAGATACAAACAGCATTCACAATCGTTCAGTTTTCTCTACCAGAGTAACACACTGTGTGGATAAGAAAAATAAACTGTATGCTTTGAGACAGCTTTTGACCATGATCATAGTATATATCCATGAACATGTAAGGGAGCACATGTTAATTGAAATTGTTAGGAGTAGCAGCAGGAACAGGTTGAAAAAGTTACCACAATTCACTGTCAAATGGAAGTTTTGATTTTTTTTTTTTCTGGGTTTTGTCAGTATTTTCATTTATATTATGAATAAGGGAACATAGTTTGCAGTCATACAATGAAGCAAGAATGCTAAGAACATGCAAAATGCTGCAAGTATAGAAAATAAATTGGTTTTGGGGTGAAAAACAAGCACATTTGTTAAGAACAAATGCAAAATGCTGCATTCAGGAATAACCAACTGTACAGTAGAAAAGAGATTATAGACAGTTAAATAATAATCCTTTAGAAAAAGTGGTTGCTGTGGAAGGTAAACTGAGCATGGCCAAAGTATGACCAGTCATCAAATTATGAAATTTTAGTGGTTACAATTTCTTTATGGTTGTGTTCCTATTAATACTATTCCTTTGTATGTATGTGTGTGTATTCTATGTAGCAGTTTTCACATTGGTGACAAATTCTGAAGAAACTACATTAGATAAATACTGATCCATTTGTCTTGTGATGTGACATGCCTGTGTTGTAACCTTTGTTGACCTCTTCTCTGTCTTCCCTCAGTTCCCAATTCAGCACACAATGGTTTTGAAGGAACTATTCAGCGGTCGCACCGACCTTCATATGAAGACAAAGTTTGCTTTATAGCCACAGTTAGATTAGCTACACCTCAATTTATCAAGGTAAGCACACTTACATCACTTTTATATTATTTTAACCGTACTCTGAACAGGAAAACTTTAGAGAAAATGCATATAGCACTTCAGATACTATTGATGAAAGTCATAAGGAATTCTGTCATATGAAACTGGAAATATCTGTGTTTCTTACTATGGGGTACTGTTGCAAGCTCCTGCAGTAGCTGAAGTGAAGATTTAGAGTACTCTCTATCCTGTTTGTAAAGCCGAGGTGGCCATCTTCCTAATGGTACTTCTTACTCATTATAAGCACGTATGGCTTTTACTACTGTGCTTGTAGATGCTGAGCATGAGTTTACAAGCTGCATTTAAATCAACTGAATTTCAGCCTAGCATAGCTGACATTAGATTGTACCACAGTGCTATGCATCTAACCAAAAATCTCAGTGAAATTTACAAATTCTGTACCTATTGTAAAGTTATCCACTAACTTCAGGTAAGCCTGAATTTAAGAACTTATGAATTAGAGTAGAGCAGTTTTGAAAGAGATTTTTTTTTTTTTCACTTTTTAGGAAATGTGCACTGTTGAAGAACCCAATGAAGAGTTCACATCTAGACATAGCTTAGAATGGAAGTTCCTATTCTTGGATCACAGGTGCTGCGATTCTTTCTATATATAGCAGCAATAGTAGCTGAATCACTTTTAAATGGCTATAATATGTAGAGTTCACTAATCAGTATTAATTAATCATAACTTACGTTGGGTTTAATTGTTTTTTTTTGAGAAAAATGAAAAATAAAAAATACAAATGCAAAAAAAAAAAAAGCAAAAAATGTATATAATGAATTATTTTCTTGTGAAAAGAAAATGACTGTAAATTTTCTATTAATTAGGGCACCTCCAATAATAGGCTATCTTCCATTTGAAGTTTTGGGAACATCAGGCTATGATTATTATCATGTGGATGATCTAGATAATCTGGCAAAATGTCATGAGCATTGTGAGTATGACCAAGTTGCTAAATTGAGTTAATTTGCTTTCTAGATGTTCAGTTTAAAGTTTGTTAAGTGGTTTGAGTGAAGTTTTCTTGTATGTATGAGTGAAGTTTCTCTACTCCTGTTCATTTGATGATGTCATACTACTGATATTGATATTTTTCTTTTGGTACAGAACTGGAAAACAGATTCAACTTTTAATTTAGATTTTTCGTTGTGGTGAATTGGAGTGCACAGCACTATGATTATTTTTTCTCCCATTCTTCTAATAGCATTTAAAAGTCTCTGTGACATTTAATAAATACAAAAACTGTCTAAGCATGTGATAGAATAAATTTTCTGTTTAGCTATGATTTTCTTCAATTTTTTTGCATATGAGTATTTCACTATATATGAAAGCTCTACAAAAATGGTAAGTTGAATTTTGCATTTTTCAGAAAAATGCAGATTCTTTCTGGTAGAACACTACAATTTTGATTCTCTTCTTAGACTTAGTATCAGATTGAACATGGGCTCAGAACATGAGCAGTTGAGAAATAATGCTAATTATATAATTTAAGGATTTATAGACTGGAAAGACAGTAAAATTTATTTCTCATTTTTACAGTAATGCAATATGGGAAAGGGAAGTCGTGTTATTACAGATTCCTTACAAAGGGACAGCAATGGATTTGGCTGCAAACACATTACTATATCACGTATCACCAGTGGAATTCCAGGCCAGAGTTTATTGTATGTACGCACACAGTTGTCAGGTAAGTTTTCCTTGCTAAATCCATGTTAGAGATATTTAGATTACATGGGAGCTGTATTGCTAGTTAGTATTTTTTTTGAGATAGAGAATAATAAATGGTAAAGAATTACTGGAAAACTTCCTGAGGTACTTTGTAAGCAAGATACGTTGGAGGAGTTTGTTTTCTGAGATTCTTATTTTTAAAATCACCTAGGGATTAAGCAGTCATATTTGGTTTGTTCTTTTGTTCTTCTAGTTACGCAGAAGTCAGAGCAGAAAGGCGGCGAGAACTTGGTATTGAGGAGTCTCTTCCAGAGATAAAAGCAGATAAAGTGAGTAACAAACATTTTGATTCACTTCATCTTCATTTCATAGTGATAATAACATGTAGTAAATACTTAGCAGCAAGAGTTATTTGTCCTTTTTAAGTAATTATTTCAATCATTAAATAGTATGTCTATTTGAAGTCATTAAAGAAGTTTAGGGAGGATGTTTAACTGTTATTCCACTCCTCCTCTTCTCAGCCATCTATATACTTGCTTATAGCATGTCAATTTCCCTAAGTCCCTACTATGATCTGATTTCTGCAGTTAGGTTCATACATAAATATTCTTCCTTCCTGGAAGGACCTGTAACTTGGAAGAACGAGGTCAGCACACAAAGGTGACGTAAAGGAATTCACTGGAAAGTAGGAATTGTTTCCTTATGTGACTCTCTTCTACTTCTTAGATGTATGAAGATTCATTTCAATTGAACATCATTGGAAGCTCAGCAAGTCTTAGTTGAGCCAGCTTGTGCTAAACCGTGGTGTTTTTCCCTTGGCAGTTCAGAAAGTTTCATTTGGCAGTGCTCCTAGTGAAATTAACTTTTCCTTCTTCAAAAGGATAAGCAGTTCACTCCTAACACAGGTGTTCAGACTTAACTGAGTTGCTGGAGAAAGAGGTCAGCTCAGCAGTCATTTTGGGACATGTCTGCACGCATTTTGGTTTCTAGGTTTCTATTGTTTTGTTTTGTTATAAAAATTGTTATAAAAGAGTAGAAGTTACAGATGCAAAGCAGGACGCTACTTCTGTGCAGTCAGCCATGAAAGGGATTGATGAGAAGCTGTATGGTCTCAGGTATTTTCTTACTGAAATGTACAATGTGGGCTGAATCTGATAAAATAGCTATTGTTTCTGTGTGTCTCTTCAGAGTCAGGACTCTGGATCTGATAATCACATAAACACAGTGAGCCTGAAAGAAGCTCTGGAAAGGTTTGATACCAGCCCCACACCTTCCGCTTCCTCCAGGAGTTCAAGAAAATCTTCACATACTGCAGTATCAGATCATTCGTGTAAGCATCAACTACTGAATATCTAATTTCCTTCTTAATGAAGACTTTCTCTGCTTTACTTAATTAAATCCATCTCTGGCAGTTAATCATCATTTTATTAAGAGTGTGCAGATGAGAATGTCCTTTATGATGGGTCAGAGATATTCTAAGATTTCCCACTAAGATTTTCAGATGTTGTGTAATGGTTTCTGCTTCTAAAACTGCAGTAGCAGCCCCTATATTGCCCTGTTTCAGTCCATCAGATTGCATTGTTGTTGGATATGCAAGGCAAAAAAAAAAAATAGAATCCAAGCCTTAAGCTTTTTCTATTCTGGAAGATCTTCCTGTGATTTGAACATTGCATTGCAGAATTGAGATTACTATTAATATGTTTCATTTTCTTGTAACAACTTTGTCAGCGACACCAACTAAAATGACAGTGGACACTAGCACTCCCCCAAGACAAAGTTTATCTGCTCATGAAAAGTCTACACAAAGAAGATCATCTCTGAGTAGTCAGGTAACTCTTTGAAGAAAAATTTTTGTCCTTAAATCAGTGCATTTTTCCTTTAAAATGTATTATGAAATTCACGTAAACTTCATTCTATTTCCTCTGAAAACACAACGTTTAAACTATAAGACTTTTACTTGGGATATTTGGCTATCATTTCTATGCACCTTCAGTATACTACATTTTGAGGGAATGCAATAATTAAGCATGTAGGTATTTATGTTTTGGGCTTCAGAATTCGTAGGAATGTATCTGAGTCTGTGCTTTCTCTCGCACATAACTTCTTTGTATGATTCTGCATTTTATATGTATCTTTGTGTGTGTGTATATAAAACTATATACATAATTGCCAACATAATGCTGTGTGTCCCTATAGGTTAGGTAGACTTATACCTTTAAGAATATCAGCAAATACTTTAATACGGTTTCTGTAATCTTAGTAACGTGAGAAAATACAATGCTTTGTGTGCTTAGTGCTCATATTGCACTATAGATATGAACTAACACATTTACTTCAAAAATACAATGTGTATTAAATTATGTATTCTGCTGATATGCTATGTATTAGTTTAAGAACAGAAGTGTCAACTTCCAAACTTGTTAGAAAGTTTTTGCCATTATTGTGAAAAAGAATTTTAAAGCAGCCATGTTTTTCCTGTTTTATACCTGCTGCTTCTTACATATTTTTAGCAGGGAAACAACTATATAGAGATTATGTATATTATAATTCTTGTGTGTGTGTGTGTGTTCTTAATTCTTTAATATTTAGGCTTAGGCATTTCAAGAAATACACTTGTTTTTTTCATATATTCACGTGATGCCATTTTGGAATTGAATTTATGTAAGGAAATATTTCATGTCAAGTATGAAGTCCATTCTTTTCTAGTTATGGAACAATTTTTTTTTTAAATCCTAGTCTTTAAGCTCCCAGTCTCTTGGGCAACCAGTAACACAGCCAACGATGTCTCAGCCTGCTACTTTACAGCTCCAGTCCAGCATGTCCCAGGTATGGATTAAGTTGGTTTGCTAAGTTGTTTTATTATTTCTTTAACAGTCTTGATCTAACTATAAAGTTAATTTCTCTTTCAAAAACTGAGTTCTTAGTTGTCAAAGGTGCCTTCAGCGTTTTTCTCAAAATGAGCCAATTTCTGTTTGACAGAACAGTACCATGTGAATTACTAAAGTTTTATAGGGTCTTAGTGATTTGAGTGCCAATCAGTTTCTTTTGCTGCTATTTGTTTTGTTTTGTTCTAAGCAGACTAATTCTCATGCATCAGTTAAACATGTAGACATGAAGTCTGTGACACTTTTGTACTGAAGATTTTGTCTTTGGTTGATGACTACTAGCAGTTTAAAAACCAGTGCTTGATTTCTTTGCTAGTCTGGAGGAGTGTATTTACTACTTGTGAATTAAACGTGATTATTTTTGCTCAGCTTATAATTTATACATGGCACTACAGCCTGTCTTTCAGTTTTCAGCTCAATTAGGAGCTATGCAGCACCTAAAGGACCAGCTGGAGCAGAGAACACGCATGATAGAGGCAAATATTCATCGGCAGCAAGAAGAGTTGCGGAAAATTCAAGAACAGCTTCAGATTGTCCACGGTCAAGGACTTCAGGTGAGTAGGTGTAACTCATACACATTTCATCTGTAGAGAATTTAGAGATCTAAAATGAGATTTGGGCACTTCATTCCAAAATGGGATTCTCTGTACTCCTTATCAGCTGTCTTCTGGACCTTGTGTGCCCAAAATTCGTAGAACTAATGTCACTGTTCCTGCGGTACTTATAATTTTGCTTCTGAATGTATCTAGTTGTGCCCCAATGTATTCTTTCAATGTTGAGTGGCTTGTGCTACTTAAATGTAAAAGAATGTGTTGTAGTGGTTATTACTTCTTGAATAGCTTTGCAGCCATTAGAATATTCATTCTAAATGTGCAAGATGTATATTTATTTCCCCTTTTAGCTCAGGGGTGTAAAAATCATGCCTCTTGGTTGAATGCATACCTCTTAAAAGATTGTCCCAACTATCAGGCTTACATCCTCTTACAGACTGTTCTAGTGAGGTGGTTATACATTGTGTGGCATTCTGAAGTAGTTATTCAGCCACAAAGACAGGAAGTCTAGAGGACTAGAGGGAATAGCCTCAAGTTGTGCCAAGGAAGATTCAGGCTGGAGGTTACACAATACTACTTTTCTGAAAGAGTGGTCAGGCACCGGAATGGGCTGTCCGGGGAGGTGGTGGAGTCACCAACCCCAGAGGTGTTCAAAGAATGTTTAGATGTTGTCTTGAGGGACGTGGTTTAGTGAAAGCTGTGGGTGATCAGTGGGCAGTTGGACTGGATGATCTTGTAGGTCTTTTCTAGCCTCAGTGATTCTGTGATTCTCTGCATTACCCAGTCTAGCGGCTGAGAGTAACAAAGACCTGACTGCCTGATTTCTGTATTTTAACCAACATATGTATTTTATGGATTTTTAATTTTGTCATTCTGTTTTCAGCATCTATCTTGGGAAGAAAAGAATGACCTTATTGATTGGGCTTTTCTTGCTTAATAAAAAAAAAAGCCAAAACAAACGAACAAAAAACTGAAGTACATCATAAGAAAATAATCTAAATATTTTCAGTGTGCATTGTGAATAAAGAGTAAAAAATTCTATATTTCCTGGAAGTATTGAGTACATTGCTTACACTCTGTTGTGGAATAAGAGTTTGTGACATGTGCTTTTTTGTATTTTACTGTGATCTCATGTAAGCCTTCCAGCAGTAGATTGCTTTGTAGGTGCTTGAAAGGAGAGATTCACAGCTATCATTCCATGCACTGCAGAGGAACCTTATTTAGGACAATGGAAAGTAGAATACAAAATTGAAGTGCTGCACATTCTACGTTATTACAATGAGTCATTGTAGTTTTTAGTCTAACATTTTGTAAAGACTCAAAATACTTTCATGGTAAATCCAGTTTATTGAAACAAGGAAAATTCAGTATAACCAGTATGGTTTTGTAATTGCCAAGGAAGATTGCCTTCTTGGTGCTATGTCTGTATCAACTGATTCTGAGATTTTTAATTAGTTTTACTTCAAGAGGCTCGACAAGTAGAAGCAATATCTCTAAAGAATTTAATCTTTAAATAGTTATATCTTACATTGTAAATCAATCTACAAATATTACTTCTAATTTAAAAACAGATATTAAACCTCAGTGTTAAGGGCTTTAAAATTCACAATTCTCATTCTTAGCTGTTATAGTAGAGTCTCTGAATACAGATCCTATATGGGAGTTAGCCCTTTGCTCTTGGAAATTGCAATGCTGTTTGAACATCTAATAACTGGAATGAAGCCTTACCTTGTATTAATATCAGAAGAAATTAATTTTCGTTTTTGTCTAAGATATTGAACAATTAACAGATTTTTCATAAGAGCTAATTTTAGGATTTTTTTTAAGATGTTCTTGCAGCAGTCAACTTCTGGACTAAACTTCAGTTCTGTGCAGCTTACATCTGGAAATTCTTCAAGTGTTCAGCAACTTGCACCAGCAAACATGCAAGGTCAGGTTGTTCAAACTAATCAGACCCAAAGTGGAATGAACACAGGACATACAAGTACACCACACATGATCCAGCAACAGCCTTTGCAGAGCTCTGCGTCACAGGTAAAATTCTCACTAGTGAGAAGAGTAATAATAGCTTTTTTAACTTCTCCCCCTCCAAATTTTTGTGACTGTCCTTCAAATCAAGTTTATCTATTGATGTTCAAAGTTTTACAATTGAAATGTACTTATATTCTTGCTAATCCAATTTCCCACCTTGCTTTAATTTTAAAACTTAGAAATGTGAATAACTACAAATATAAATAATTACAATTTGCAAATGGAAATAATTCCAAATGCCTTTTGGAAAAAATCAATATAAAGAAAACATTTAGCCTCCCTTTTTGTGAATTTTTATGAATTTTCTACTGACAGAATGTACAGCATGAGAACATTTGTACTAATTGAGCTTGAAACCCAGTATCCAGACACTGATCTCTACAGTAAATGCCTAGAAAAACATAAGAACAGGAAAAGCATATATTGATGATTCTGAAGTTGACTTTTCTGCTCCTCAGCAATTTCAGTCAGATGCCATAGGTGATACCTTTTGCATTTTAAATCCTTTGATGGATTTTTCTTCTATGAGTTTATCCAGTTTGTTTTGATTGCATGTAAACTTCTGAAATCCACAGTATCTTGCAGTGAGTTCTACAGCTTTAGCTCCTGCGAAATTTGTTGGTGTTTGTTTTTTAAACCTGCCACCTAGCTTTTACACTGGGAAATACACTGAGCAGTTACTCACTTTTCATCTTCTTCGTCATACTTAATTTCAGAGTCTTCTGTCATATGTATACAAGTCTTTTTCTCAAGCTGAGGAGTTCTAATGTGCTTGACAATTTTATAGAGGGGGTGCTTATAATTGTAATCTCTGTGGTCATCCTCCTCTTTACTTTTTTCCAAATCCCATACTACTTTTTAAAATTTGTGATGAGACAGAGTAATGGTGGACAATTTATCACTTTAGCGTTATGTTAGTTCCAGACTTTGAAGTATGAAATTGATTGAGGTAATGTGCGTGTTTTAATGTGGCACAGAGATGCTAAAGGAGTGGAAGACAGGATCTTGAACAAACAGTATGCAAGCAGATGAAATATTAAGGAAAAAGATATTCTGAAGAGGAGAAGAGATTAAGAGATTTTCAGATGCCCTAGAGCCAGTCCCACCTCCAAATCCTCAATTGATAGGAAATACCTGTCTACTTTAAAGTAAGAATTCATTTGTAATAGAAAAACATTAGCAGTTGTAAAGCATGGGTAATTACAATGAGGAAGATGATTGTAGTAGCTGGCTATTTTCAAGTGACTGATTCATTACATGTTCTTCCTTTACAGCATAATCAACAAAACGTACTTAGTGGACACGGTCAACAATCTTCTCTTGCCAGTCAGTCACAGAACACAGTCTCAACACCTTTGTATAACACTATGGTCATTTCTCAGCCAACAACAGGAAATGTGGTTCAGGTTCCTTCTAGCTTACCACAGAACAATAACCAGAATGCTGCTGCAGTAACTACTTTTACACAAGATAGACAAATCAGGTAAATTTTCAAGACCATATTGGGATGACTAGTAGCTATGCAACCACAGCATTTATAATATCATGTATGGAAAAGTAGCATAAAACCCATATTGTTTGTTACCGTAATCACACAGCTGTTTAGCTAAACTGTACCCAAAATGGTGTGTTCATAGGCTTATCATAATCAGTAGTGTTACAACAAGGTATGAGCTTGACAAAATCTGCATTTGTCAAGCGGACCTAATGCTTGATGCATTTTTCCTGAAGTGATGCTAAATGTCTTTTTCTGTTGACAGATTTTCTCAAGGTCAGCAGCTTGTAACAAAACTTGTCACAGCCCCAGTAGCGTGTGGAGCGGTAATGGTACCAAGTACTATGTTTATGGGACAGGTGGTGACAGCTTATCCCACTTTTGCTGCCCAACAGCAGCAGCCACAGACTTTGCCAGTAACACAGCAACAGCAGCAGCAGCAGCAGCAGCAGCAAAGTCAGCAAGACCAGCAGCAGCAGCAGCAGCTCACTGCAGTTCAACAACCAGCTCAGCCACAGCTGACCCAGCACCCGCAACAGTTCCTACAGGTAATGTAGCATTCTCTAGAAATTTGTCAGTCCTGAGACTTTCAGCATGCTTATCTTAGAATTATCTTAATATTCTTAGGCTGCCATGAAAGTAGTGTCTTGTATTTATTTCCATGGAAACTACAGCTGATACAGAGAACAACACAGTAACACTACTTGATTGAGCAAGCTCTCAGCTACAAAACAGTTTTTCGACATAGTCTGTACCATTAGCTATGCAAGAGCCTGAATGCTATGCTTGTAAAAATCCGTACCGACAGAGATGACCACTGTTTCATAGCTGCTATAAAGGTATTGTTGCTAGAAAAATGCCCATGCAGTCCATCTTTCATCGGCCCGAACAGATGGAAGTCAGAAGGTTGCAAATCCAGACTATATGGTGGATGTGGTAGAACAGTCCAGTTAAGACTGGCTATGTGTTCCATGGTCTTTGAGCTGATAGGGGACCATGCATTACTGTGTTGCAAGAGAAAGATTGTCTTCTTCTCTAGCCTTATTCTGGTGGTTTGGGTCTTCAGCTTAGTCAGTGTTGTGTTGCATCGGTCAGACTTGATGGTTTGTCCAAGTTCCAGGAAATCCAGGATTGCATTGTTCTTATCCTAAAAGATAGTGCACATCACTTTACCTGCTGAGGTCTGTGTCTGGAACTTTTTCTTCAGTGGGAAATTCATGTGTCACCATTCTGTGGACTGCCATTTTAACTCTAGCTCATAGCAGTGACACCAAGTTTTATCACCAGTGGTGCAATCCAGTAAACTGCAGCATCGTATTGGTTCAGTAGGTCCTGACAAGCTTCCATGAGGTGCTCTTTCTGTTCCTATGTGAGCATTTGTGGGACACATCTGGCGCAAACCTTGCAATATTCTAGCGTTGCCACCATCATTTCCAACACAATGAAGCTGAACTTCAGCTCTGTACACAGTTCCTTGGTCATGATCTGCTGATTCATGTGGTGAGCTAATCAAGATAGTCTTCATTTCATGGTGTGACAGCTGTGCACGGCCATCTAGAATGACCACTGAGGTCATTTAGGCTAGTGCCAACCCATCATCCCATACCCACTCATTGCCACATCTACATATTTCTTGAACACCCCTAGGGATAGTGACTCCACCACCTCCCTGAGCAGCCTGTTGAACAAACTTTCTTACTATGTGCAGTCTCCCTTTTACAATAGAAGAGCATAAAGTTGGAATTTCTACAATTGAGTAAGTAGCTGGAAACTCAATCTAAGTATATATGGACAAGGAATAGCTAAGATTCCATTTATGGATGAGTAAAATTTTCTTTACCTGGGCCAGTGGCAAAAAATAGTAGCTTGTTAAAAAAGCTTTTCCATAAGAAAATGGAATTTTAGCCACTCATCAGGCAAAGGCTTTTTAGCTGCAAGCTGAAATCTGGTCAAAAAGAGAACTGAAGAATAGCTAGTTATTTGAATTTCAGCACTCGTTCATGCTGTTTAGCAGATAGGTAGTGTCTGTCCCTGCTTTTAAATTAAAATGTTTATGCAGTTTTGACTTCATTCTTTTGAAAACAAAACAAGATCCAGCCTGATGTTGAACACCTCCAGGGATGGAGCATCCACAGCCTCTCTGGGCAGCCTCTTCCAGCAATTCACCACCTTCTCAATAAAAATCTTCTCCCTGATATCTAATCTAAACCTTTAGTTTAAAACCAGTCCCCTGTGTTCTATCACTACCTACCCATGTAAAAAGTTGATTTCCCTCATGTTTATGGTCTCCTTCTCACAGTCTGATTCTGCAGGTGCAAGAGCGAAGTAGTTGTTCTGGATTGAGATGTCCAGTTCCTTTTGTACCCATCCTTCACTGCTTTTTCTTCAACACCATCATCTTTTGTTTCTAGGAAGAGTGACATTAAAAATAAGAGCTATTTGCAGTAATGATTAATCCCCTTCAAAGGAGATGTTTGGGTCTGCAAATGGGGCAGCTTCCTTGGTTTTCTTCCTTGGATTTTTATCCAGAGATAAATTTGATCTGTGCCAAGTCATGCTTTGGTATGCCAAGGCACTGCTTTCTATGTGACTGCAGTAACATATGTATGGTTAAAATAGATTCCTTAAGCCCCGTTATGCTCTTGTGTTTCGAAATGGGGACAAGTTGCCATATGCTCTACCCATTGTCACAGGAAATCGCGAAGACCAGCTGCTTTATCAAATGCTCTAAGTATCTCCATTAATGCCAACTAATCTTTGCATTGTTGGTTCAGCTTCAGTGACCAAATTAGAAGTTTATTTTGACTGAATTCTTCCACAAGGTTAAAGCAGCCAGGCCTGCACTTCTCAGAGCAGCAGAAAACATAATTTTCTTTTGTTTGCATGTTTTAGACATCCAGGTTACTTCACGGGAATCAGTCAGCTCAGCTTATCCTCTCTGCTGCTTTCCCACTACAGCAAAGCACTTTTACTCAGTCCCACCACCAGCAGCACCAATCGCAGCAGCAGCTCTCACGGCACAGAACTGACAAGATGACGGATCCTTCCAAAGCGCAGCCGCAGTAGCTGGGGGCTCTGCCTCTCCTGGAAGCCAGCTACCAGGAGGGGGCTGCTCCATAACCACTTGCACTGAAGTTGCAGAGGTAGCAGTACAAAGCCTTTCTAACGCTCTGCGGTATTGAGACCTACAGCTAACTTCTGGAATCTGTTGAGGAAAACCACCAGGTGATGGCAGGGATGTGGCCAACTTTGATCGTTGTCCCAGTTTCTGTGCTCTAAAAGGTTTGCTGCCATGTGTTAATTTGTCCAGGTGAAATCAAAAAATGTGACTGAAATGAGAGGGATGCTGAAAATATTGGTATTTTTTATCAGTTCTGTACATTTTTAAAGTATTAAAATGGACACAGAGCAATTGTTTGATTTAGCAGAAAAAATGCCAGGAATATAGTCCGACAAACATCTAATTTTTTCAGATGATTATGGGACAGTAAATATTCTGAAAATGTTGTGTGAAATCCAGTTCTCTGTTGTACAGATGCTGTAAAATATTGTGTATATGTCTGCATAAAAGGAGAAAGAGCAAAATATTTTATATGATGCATGAAATGTAATCTGTTATTTGTAGGTTTGAATATGTTTCCCTAAATTTTCACGCCATACTCAGACTGATGTTTTCCTTTGTTCTGCCCCTTTGTTTACAACATGCTGCATCATTACTTTCACCCTCAGTGTGGGCACAGGTCTCTCGTTTGTGCTTTGTCTGTGATGTCACAGTCTGTTCGGTGAGGTATGGTGTGTTGGTTAGTTGACTTCTCGAGGTTAAATTATTGACGAAGCCGTTTGAACTGGTGATCGTGCATCAGGGTTCAGGGTGTTCAGATTCATGAGTATCATCCATCGTTTCATACCTAATTCATTTTATTTGAAAAAAAAAAAAATAGGAATTTGCACTGCTTCCTTGCGGATGGTTTGGAATTTTATTCCCCAAAGCTATCTTTTGATATAGTTCATAGTTGGAAATATTTATGTAAAATGTTAAAAAAAAAAAAAAAAAAAAAAAAAAAGACGGTAATTTTCAAGAATGTTTCAGTTATAGGAGTAATTTGCACAAAAAATATATTTACATTTAATAACCTTTTGGGCACTTTTTAACCACTTTCTCTGTGGTGAGAATTGTAACTTGTTAAAATATGTTGGAATCTTTTTATTCTCATTCAAAAATTAGATCTTTCTTTAGTCAGAACTAATTCAGGGTCATTTTAACAACAACAGAAAAACCCATAGTGCCTTGATTTTAATTCAGGTGATAATGTTGAACATCTTGACTTACAGTGTCTCGAATCTGTAACCATTCTCAATTTTGAAGTCTTAGTACGTTGTCAGCCAAACTCGTGTATCTACTTCATAGCTGTTTCTGCATCGTGATCATCTCAATAACAATCTGAGTTGAGAACGTGAGCGTTTTTGAGTGCTGCTCCCCCTCAAACACTAAGTCAGAAACTGAGGAGTCTCAGCAATCTCAGACCTTGAAGGTATGGTTCTTGAAGATGTAAAAGCAGACAGTGCTCCTCTAGCGGGAGCAGGAAGGGTAACCTGATTTGAAATAATAAGAGTCATTTAAAACCATTTCTGTAGTGTTTAGAGTATGTCTTGGGGGAGATCATGGTAGATTTAGGAGATATCACTGAACTAAGACTTCAGAAGGCAACTTCACTTTATAAAGAAAATAAAAAGTTCCAACAGATATGATGTGCTATTTTAGGTAGGGTTTTATGGTACTAGTTTGAGAAAACCACAACTTTAGAGGCAAATAAACAAACACAGATAGATCTGAGAATTAAAATAAAACAGCAAAAGCAGTTAAAATTAGTAGTAGGGAGAGAAAGCTGGATTAATCTTGAATACTGAGGAGGAGTTGAATGAATGTAACCAAATGGTGACGGACTGTTTTGTACTCTGGAACAGTTTGATTGTATTACTGGGCGAGCCAAACCCACAGGAGGGTGGCACCAGTTCAGCGAGCGCTCCATGCCATTGATGGCATTTTGGGGCTGGCCTTTGCCTCTCCAGGCGTCCCACCATTGCATCTTTGTTGTTCCCCACTTACAAAGCAAGAGTTTGGTACCAAAAAGCACAGTTGTGAACAAGGAAGGAGTGTGAGAAATACAGTACCAAAGAGAGTTAGATTGCGCTCTGCTCCAAGAGGCCTCTCGCAGCAAGGAGGCAGGTGCCAGTGCCAGACATAGCAAGGACAAGTTCCCTTCTCTAAAAGGATTTCTGCCATTCTCTGAGCTGGGATAAGGGTCAGAAGCCCGCTGCTGTAGAGCTCCGCGTAACAAAGTTTGCCTTGCTCTGCTCTGCTGCCGCACCATCCACCTGTTTCTAAAATAAGCTGCATTACCAGAGGTCTGTGCTAGCAGCACTGCTGCTTAATGGAAGTAGGTTAGAGAAAAATTGTTAACCATTTACAGTAATAACAGAGCACTAAAAAAGAAACCTGGGAGAGCTTTAATAGTGCTGTTAGAACTATGGAATAGTGGTAAAATAGGTTTATTAAGCTATTATACTGAGAATTACAAAAAATAGAGATAACAGCCAGCCAGTTAATGATGCAACTTTTTATATGAAGCTCCATTTAAACTTCTCTTCCCATTCCCCCCCTCCCCAAAACTCTCGTGTGCTGCTATAGGTCTGTTGGTAAAACGCTGAACTAGGTGAGAGAAAATAGATGACAGCGATAGCAGGGCTGCTGAAAGAGAATAAAGAAATGTATGCTTTGATCAAGAAGCTTTTTGTAACCTCAGAGAACTCGTTCAATTACAGAGCTACCAGCCAGTAGACAAAGCATAGAAGGTGGGGAAATTCACAGAAACTGGAAAAATACAGCATCCATTTGAAATATACCTACCGTGAATCAGGCAAACTTTATACAGAAATATGTAGAACTTGTTCCATGTTCTGTGCAAGGGTGCAAATGCTTTGTTTCACAGCTACTGACTCAAAGGTGTATATTTCAGGTGTCTGCGGCTTCCCCCTTGCTGAATCAGTTGCTGAGCTGTTCTTGATTTTAGTGGGAAGAGGACCAGGCTGTCGCCTCTTTCTTAATCAGCCTTTTGCTTCTGCCTGCCTCATTTACTACAGTCATAGATTATTTGCAACATCCTAATCAATAGCATGATAAGAAATGCTGCGATGCTGCAGGTTCTGGGGTGCAGATGTCACAGAATGACTCTGACAGAAGGGAAGGAATCTGTTAAGGAGAGGGTTGTATTTGTGCAGGCACAGTCTGGTGGTACGGAACGGAGTGAAACAGAGTCGCATGGAGTTTAGAAGACAGACATTGTTTGCCAGCAATGGGTGAGGATTTGAAGAAAAGCTTCTAGGAAAATTACAGAGAAAAAGAATATATAGCTATTTTTATATTATATTTAATATATATTTGTATATAAATATGAAAAGATTCTAGTAAGAGCTCTCCATATGCCTTCCATTTCATCTAGAAGGTTTACCTTCTGCACTGTGGTTCCAGTGTGTCGCCACTTGTGTGGGCATCCTGCCTGCTGCCAAACACCAAAATCAGTAACCCAGTATCCTTACAACAGGTAGGTTTCATTTCAGCTTTATGTAAAAAATTAATTAAAAGAAAACTATATCAGGCAGTTTTTCATGGAAAAAGAAATTCTCTTAAGATTCAAATAGCACTTTCTATCTTTTATTTTATTTTTATTGTTTGGAGTAATAAGAAGCACTTTACTGAAAAGACTATTTGAAAACCAGTTTATTTCTTTAGTCAGTGAAACTGTTAAGGGGGGGAGGGGACATCAAGGAATAATGTGTAAAACTGTCAAACAGAGACATTTCTGGAAAATGTTTCTTTAATACGGTGATCCTTTGAGGCTCAAAGTGCAAGATGAAAAAGGCTAATAGAACTGATTGGCTTCATGTTTTACATAGCGTGGGGAAAGGATGAAGGATTATGGCTTCCTAGGGAGGAGACCTTTTACGTTGCACAGTCGCCTATGAGAGAGACTCATCTGGAGGCCCACCTGCCTGCTCAGTAATTCTAAGTGTCCCTTAGGATTATAACGTGTGTGACAGTGTACCGCAGGGTTAAAGATGTGGCCTTTTGCAGATGTTGAAGTCAATTCAAAAACCATGCATATGTTCAGAGAATTTAACCCGGGTATTGTGATGAGTGTTGTAGATGTCACGGCATCAGGAGATGTTGGACGTCACAGTCATGAATTTCTCTATTTGAAATCATTACTGAAATTAGATGTACAGTCAGAGGACTGGAAAAAAATGGTTATTTTGATTAAAAGGAGAGAGACTAGTTTTAATAATTAACTTTTTATTTTTTTACTTATCCCTGGTGGAAAAAGTTGAAGAGTTAAATGAATTTGGATTAAAAAAGACGTATTTAAGCCAATTACAGTAGGTGAGACAACTGTGAGCGAACATTTGAAATTGTGGTTGTCCTGAGACTGGATGGTTGCTTTTTCAATATCATGATTTGTAACACTACATTCCTTGTCTTTTTTTTTTTTTTAGCCAGGTGATTTAAGCTCTGTTATACTTCATGCTGTGTCATCTGCATGAATTGTGCCAGCATGATATGCTCTATTCAAAGAAATTGTACCTAAATAAAAAGGAGGGAAAAAAAAAACCACAAAACAAAACACTGTGTCTGAACAAAATACTGTGTGGCCTATACAGAGACCCTAGCTATGACTGAGAGATGCTGCATTAACAGACAATCAATGAGTAAATTATTTATGAAACACTTTCGGGAATGGTCTTAAAGGTGTTACTGCTTTGAAAGCAGTTGGTGAGTTGTGTTTTCTAAGAAGGAAGGTAAAAACTATTTATTTTAAAATACATCAGATTGAATGTTGAGTTTTTAAGCAGTGTTGATTTCACAGTGTCTCGGGTTCCAGTTTTGTTTTGTATTTTTTGAACTGGCATTAGCTTTGTATTTGTTCACCAACAACCCCTAATGCCGCTCATATTGATGTCAGGAAATGTAGATACAGTTCCCTGGTGTTCGTGTGACCATTACTAACTGTCAATTTATTTTTTTTTTTTAATTGAATAAATGTAACGTTTAAAATTTTGCTTTTTGTAGCTTCTAAGGTTCTAGAATTTTATTTTTTTTTCTGAGTTCCTTAATGGCACTTCGGTAAGAGTTTCACAGTGAAGTGCTCTCATACCCCTTCCACAGATGTAACAAAGGCACTCTCTGCCCCCCAATAACTGACGTGTGAAAAGTTGCTTGATGTCAATTTTACCTTCTCTCCCTCCCCAGAGAAATGACTTGTGAGACTTCAGTAAAAATGCATACTGTACTCCTTTTTTGTCTGCTCTCTGTATCTCTTCATAAACTGCTGGCCCATGCTGATGGCCGGAGACCTTCAGCTTGTGTGGTTGCACTGCCCCTCTTACAGGCTGCTCTAATCCTCTCACTGAGCAAAGCGGGAATGCCAAGGGCAATAATTTAATAATGTGAAGTTAGCCAAATGTTTAAGGGAAGGTGAGAGAGAAGGAAATCCCACAGTTGAAGCTGAATACCTGGAGGAAGTGATAAATATTCTTCGCAGTCTGCTATTCTCTCTTTGTATCATCATCCCAGCAGACGCTCTAATCTAAGCTACTAATCTTTTGCCTTCGGGAATTAAAGCATCATCCTTGTGCAAGTTGTGTCCCACCTGCAGTCCCTGAGCAACTCCACATACCACAGGAAACAAAACAAGCTGCAGAAGCACCCGTTAAAAACTGCCAACACCCACCAATAGTAAGGCTGATAGCACGCAGTACAATTAGCACTTTTCTTAGATCTGAACTTTAGAAATATCAATATATTTTTCCACAAACTTATCAAGAAGAGCTATAACTATAAATAACTACAGCAGCGCCTGAAGCAATGCTGTTCAATGACACTTCACTGTTGTGCAAATTGAGAAACAAGAGCTCTGCTTACAGGAGAATGTTAGGTAACTGGGAAGATTAGCAATCCAAAGGTTAGCTACCTCAGCACCCCGGGCTCAGTGTCAGCGATACAAATTCCAGACCTCAGCAGTCAGAGGGCAGTGGGTAACAACCAAGAACTCCAATCTTAAGCAGTCACAGTAGCACACAGTCTTTTTCAAACCCCATTGGCAACTCTGTTTTCACATAGGACGTATGTGTAAATCAGATCAGCTTGAGGATATACCTCTGTAGCACATCACACAGATGGGCGCAGCCATTGCTTTGCACCTTAGCAATAATGTCAGCCCAAGGTTGTAGTGGCAACCTGCCATGAGCGCTGGCTTCTGGGACACAGCAAGGTGAGCTGCAAGAAAATGCCACGTCAGCGTCCAGTATCATGGAAATACCTCAGGATAACACTGGGTAAATGTGGATGAAACTGCACAGTCCTCTTCATTCAAGAGCCCAGTTTGTTTGATGCAAAGGAAAGCTGTACAGCAGCAGGTGGCCTTTTAGAGAGCTCTGAATACAGCCACTTACTTATTAACCTGCAGATTTCCACAAGTAGCATCTGCCTGTGGCACCTCCAAGCAGCAGCTCATGAGACCCAGGCCTTCCTGCACTGCGCTGAGCACAGGCTGGTTTTTGAGCCAGACCTGTACTTTGGCTCACTGGGTTTCTTCTGAAAAGCTCTGTAGTGAAGATTACAAGTTTACCTTAATCTTTGCTTAGTGCACTTTGCCACATGCAGTGTAATGAGGGCTGTGAATCAGTTAGGTACCTTGAAAATAACGAGCACCAGTTTCCTCATTTCAAGCAACTTCGACTGGCGAGAGGTTTTTCTCCCATCCCTGTAGAACTGCCCATACCATCTAATTCTGTTTCCAGTATTCAAGCCTGGAAATGAGTAGTTGTAGGTGGCTTGCACTTTTAAGTTTCCACTGCGTTCACAGCCCGAGATGCAAATTCTTGCTTTAGAAGCTGATGTGGAAATTCCCCTGGAACCAGCAGGGAAGTCTGCTGGAACTGATAATGCATCCCACTTCACTAGGGTTGGAAAGTCTGTACTGGATCATTGCTTATGTTCATATTGCTGGTACGGTGATTTGCAGAGCCTGATCTTCGCTGCCTAAGTATCCACTCATCACATTTAACATCCTCCAGCCACAAAAGGAAACAAAATAGCAGATAACCATCAAAAGTTCCAGCTAGTTTAGTCTGTTTCTCATTCTACCCTGCAAGGCACTCAAAGTATTTAAAAGGAAGAGTACTATTTAAATTGTATATATGTCCTTTCTGGAAAGCAGGACCTTGACTAGCTAATGCAACAAGCAGCTCCTTCCCCCAAAATACCATTTTCTTCTGAGCAGTTACACCCCAGGACATAAGCATGTGTAAGCCCAGGCAGGCATGTCCCAGCAGCACAGCATCAAGCCCGCTCTGCCATCTTGTAGCCAAGGTTTATGAGATTTTGTAATTCCCAATCCTGAAAATGGCTCCTTCTCCCCACCTGAGAGTTGCTGCAGGACTGAACTAGACAAGCATTGTATTTCATCCTTGTGAGCAAGCTGACATGGCCAAAAGCATTAAATCACACCCATACCTGGCTCTTCTGGCTATTCTTCATGCTTTTATTTATTTCCTGCTAACCAGTATTCTTGTTTACAAGGCAAAAGCAAATCATTCTGGACAACTTTAGAACTGACCATTAGTTACTGACTGCTTCCATGCAACTGAGAGAAAGCCAACTTGGATGCTGTCATAGTACTGTCAGGTGATTCATTACCCTGCTTTTTCCCCAACACTCCTCAAGTGCTTAGCCACAGTTTCACAGCTTGTGCATCTCTTTCAACATTACATCTCAGGTCAGTCCCATCTGGTTACCCACCCCTCTGCTCTTCTCAGTGCTGTAACTTGCAGCCTGAACACTCCTGCAAGTTGGCGAACAACTTCCTACATCTGTGTCTCCAAAGGGCAACAGCGAGTTAGCTGTTGAAAAGACATCATCATTTTCCATTCTCCTATGCTCAACTCCACTGCTGAACACATTACAACTCACTGAGTACAATGGAGGAAATTGGACAAAGGTGCAATGAATGAACCACTCATTCAGACAGCACACACCACACAGTTCTCGCTTCATCTCTTGGCTTAGGGAGAAATAGAGAGGCAGTGACAGTTTATTTTTCTAATTAGAAATCAGTAACTTCTTCCAAATTCGAGGACAGAGGGGAGGATGGGGAAAGAACAATGGGGAAGCAGAAGGAATTACTGCTCACTCTCCCAGCACTGCAAACATTAGCTTAGGATGCAGACTGCCCTAAGGGTAGGCCACCTTAGGTGCGATATCTGTCCATCTATATACAAATCTTATGGCAGTAACCTGTATCCCAGCTCTACAGGGATTTCAAGCTGAACAGTGCCATACCTCTTTGAAGGCAATGCATCAGTAGTATGAGAATGCAGTAAGGAAAGCTGCTAAAATCAGAGCCACTGAACCAGCCAATGTGCAGTTGTCTGAGCCAACAAAGCAGACAGCTAGAGGCTGGGCACTAAAAGGCTGTATGGGAGGACACTGTTTCTGCTAGAGGCAGGGCAGCATACAGTGCTGCTAAAAATACATTGGGAATCTCCAATCACCTTCAGCAGGCTTCTGTTATACAATGACTGGACTACAACAGCCTTGGGACTGTGAAAAATTCCAACAGGCAACTCACAACATTAAATCTCTACAGTTAGTAGTATCTGCTATAGTGCCTTTTAAAACTCTTGCTAAAATCTGAGAACCTATCTCATTTTATAATAGATTTCCAAGCATAAGTTAACATTGGCTTTAAACAATCAAAAACAGTAGGAGCATTATTCTAACTCAATGAATATCTGCCTATGCATTGCCTATTTTTAACCAGGCAGTGGTCAAAAGCAGTAGTTTGCATCACATATGAGTTTGTAACAGCAGAATGTAAATGTGAAAGTTGCATGGATTTGTTCTGCAGCTTCATATTTACCTCTTAAAAAAATAAAAATAAAAAAAAAATAGTACATACCTTCATTTTTTCTGTTGATCACAATTGTTTTAATACCAGAACAGTTTCAAGCAGTGCACAGGAAGTTCAGAAAGTTTCTACCTTAGGACACAGCCAATCAGTTTGGCTTTTGATCAAGAATTTTCATCAGGATGAAGGGCAGGCAGCCTGCAGCACTGTGATTACCCAGCATTACCTAGCACACGTGTGAGAACACGCTGTGCAGTAGCACCGCACAAAAACCAGTTTCTCAGTGAGCAGTTAAAGTTTAGGCTCTTCCCTGCTTTGGGATCCCTGTTCTTTCTTTTTTAGTGTGACCCAGGTAATGCACCCCTGAGGGTACAAGATTAAACACACTACAGAGAGGGCATTTACAGGGTGTGGAAAGAGGCTGCAGCAATTGGTTACAATGCTTGCTTCAAAACTGAACAAATCAGTGCATAACTCAGCAATTAACAACAGTACTGCCAGCAGCGCCCTTCCTGCAGGTCAGGACATGAACATCTAGGCCTGGAGCTGTAATCTGTTTTCATACCACTCTGCATAAAAGGAATCCAGCGGCTGCAATCTTTGGTGTTTGAGAACCTCAGCATTAAGTGGTTTCTCTTGGCAGCAAAATCCAAGAGGAGACCTCCTACCCTCTGTTCTCAAGCAACAATTTGGACAATCAAATTTGTAGCACTTGATATTACTTTAGTTTCAGGCTCAAGTAGTAGGTAGATGGATGCTATCAGAAACTCTATCTTCTGCTTTACAGAACTGCTACTGAATAGCTCTAAACATCTTATTTAAGCTATTAGCTCAGAATCTACTAGTTACCAAACAGCAGAGAGAACCACGTGTTTCAGTAGCCCATATTTTAAGCTGTCAACATTTTCAAAGTTTTTATAACTGGTATTTATAACAGTATCCAAAATAAATTTAGTAAAGTTTAAATAAATCATCACTTTAACCTCTGTGGCAGGAATTATGGAACTGCCAAAAAACAATACTGAAAATGACTCAAATTGAGACACTATGTTTTATTAATACTCTTCCAGATTACATTTCTATTCCTAAAAAGAAAAATATGAACATATCTAAATCTAAGGATTCCATTATTGTTCAGTCCTGGGAATAAAACACCGTTAAGTTGGACCACTTTATTACTTTCCACGTACTTTATAAAGTTTAGAAAGTCAAAAAAGAAAATAAAAAAGGAAAAAAAAAGTCAAATACTACTAGCTCCAGATTGCACATTGAACACAGTAGGCTGTTAATCAGCACACAATTTCCTGATAAAAATCCCTGATTAAGAAGTTTGCCCTTTAAATGAAATTTATAATATTCTCTGTTGGTGGCTCAGCAACTAAATGATATATGAATGGCTCCCCAGCTTTTTGTTGCTTACATTATCCAGCCTCAGGCACATCCTGGAACCAAAGTCTTTGGAAGTGGGAGTCAACTGTTATCTCTTTAATATTTTGTTCAACATTATGAAACAAAACACTCTGGTCTGCTTCAGAGAAGGCTTAAGAGTTAGCTCTTGAAGCAACAGGAAAGGGGGCCATGTGTAACAGTAGGGGGGAAAAAAAAAAAAAAGCTCCAACATTTATGGACGTAGATTCTCAAAACTCAGCTGAGCCAGGTTCAGCAAACAAGAAAACCACGCAAATCCTACCACAGTAGCAGGTGCCACAGAACATACAAACCAGACAGCAAACAGATCTCCACCGCAGAAGCTGTCCATAAACGTGTCGATCCCACCAATCATTTGCTATAAAAAGTTCAGTGTCTCATCTTCGGTGCTTGTTTAACTCTAATTCTGTACATTTATATACAAAACCACACAAGGATAGCTGCTAGATGCTTCCAATCCTTGTCCTTTCGCAGTGATGAAAAATATTTAAAAACCAGAGTCTGGACTTATAAATAGTGCAGAAAATGCAAAAGCTAAGAAGACAATGCCTCCTATGATTGTCACTGGAAAGGAAAAACAAACCAAAAATGAATTAGACATTGAGAAAGTTAAATAAATTTATAATGCGTCATGGAAGATATTTACTTGTTTGTTTGTTTGATAAGAAGTCTGATTACTGAAAAATCTTTTTAAAACGTAATGCTGCAAACAGCGAAGCAGTAGACACTAGTTCTAGCTCAGTGTCAGGATGCCCATGCACCACCCCATTGTTTAATCTCATCTACAAAGACATATTCTGGACCTTAGGAAGGACCATGCGTATTACTTCAGCTAGTGTGAAGCTGAGGTTGATGCCTACTGTTGGCTACGTGGAAAAAAATTAGGATACACTATCATCAAACAAGCTAGGAGTGACACTGCAGATTAGCAATTCTAGCACAGTTCAGGTAACTACACTGAATGAGCCTGTATTAAAACCATTAACTGCTTGCAACGGCCGGAGGCTGCTAGAAGCTGGGGCAGTATCACTGCATTTGGCCCATTCTTCTCTAAACAAGCTAATAGGCTACATGGATCTTTGACCTAACCTAAGGTTATTCCTATTGCCAGAGATCCATGCTGGGCTTATTGATAGCACATTAAATCATTGCTAGATTAGCAACTCATAATCTATGGCCTTAACAAACAAGATAGAATACACATTTCACCTTTTCCATCGAAATTTACCCCTTCACATCCTTTTCTGAAACTGCAGAAAACACACAGACCCAAACACTGAACTGATCTTAAAGAAGTCTCGAGAAACATTCTTCCTAAACATGCAACCATTGACATCACACACATTACCAGCATTAATGCATTTCTCAGTTGGAATGAGTTTTCACTTACCAGTCCTAACAGAAATTTTTTGTGCTATCATTCTCCCTCCAATAACTGCTAAACCAGTGCATAGACAATGTCCCACTGTTCCTCCTACTGCCACACCATAAGGATCCTGAGGAGAAAACACAGAAGGGAAAGGAAACATCAGTGCAATGGAAAGCCTGCTACTTTTTTTTCCTCCAAAGAAACCATGTTTCATTCACTGTCACAGGATGGATACTATTCACCTCATGAGCAGTCAGAGTATTTTCTTTTCACTGAAGTTCACAGTTGACTTACCACACTACTGACAATCCCTGTAAAATTTCTCTCCTAAGTATTTCTGTAATATTCTTGCTATGTAAATTAGTCTTTGTGAAATACTTAATTAGTAAGGTACCTGAATACTTTATGTAAGTAGTATAAAATAATCCCACAGATACAATGAGAGAAGATCAAGACACCTCAAATCCATTTTTTGTAGTACTTTTGTAGCACTTATATAAACGTTCCATATGTTAAAAGCTTAACATCCACAGTCTTCTTTTACAATCCTCAGTACTTCATGGACCACTGAGTCTGACAGACATTTCCAAATGGGACACTCAGAAAAATGCAAAAGAGAAGTCAACCTGTGATAGGATGGGCATAAGCAACTTATTCAGAACCATACAAAATCTTTGCGGAGGCAGTAGTAATAATTTCTAGTTTGCCAAGATGGCATGTAGCTAACTGAACAATGAGATTCTCCTCTCTCACCTGCTCCCTGCCTCTCTAGTTCTCAATGCCTTCCCTACTCTGTAATAAAGGCAAAAGGTTCCTACAGATTATAGCCTTCTTCATTATGCAGCCTTGATTTATCCCTGGGGAAGGTCTGAGAGTGCACTGAAGGAAGCATGAGTCCTTCAGGAAAAAGATGTAAATGATCTCAATGCACAGAAAAAAAACAGGGCAACTACTGAAGGCTTATAGTCAGCCTTTTAATAAGCCTGATTTTCCTGTAAACGTATAACAGTTATATACACTCTGATCATCATCCTGAGTATCACTTAATTTATGGTACTGCTTACTGCACAGCAGTTCAGAATTTTAGTTCTACTTACTTTAACAAATTCATTTAGATTTTTTAAAAAAGCACTATCTTATCAACGTTGCAAATTTGCTAGGATCAAGGTTTCCTTTTAAAGCTGCTGTGTTAAAGCTGTATTATCTCACAGATCAAAGAAAAAGTAGTTCTGTGACATCCCTATCTCTACACCGTATCAAATAATTGTATTCAGCTACATGATGTCAAACAACTCTTTTCAGAAATGCCAATGCAATTCTAATCATGTGACCATAGTTATAACAACATGCAGAGCCTCCATGCATTTATTTTCACTCTCTGCACAGCCGTGACATTAAGTAAGGCACTATAAAGCAGCAGGTGTGAATGTAACACCTTACGCAAGGATATTTTGTCTCTTACCTACCTGCAGACAACCCAAGGAGAGTACAAGAAGGGGCATTCTGCAGCACTCACCTCTCTGGCTGCCAAGACGATGGTTGTTAACTGGGAACGATCACCCCACTCTGCTAAAAATGTTAAAGTAAATGCTTGTACAAAGATGGGAGAAATAAAATGGAGCCATTTCTTCTGAGGTATAGTGGCAGTTGATCCCATTTCCACATCCCCAGGCCCATTTAACAGTTTAGTTCTCTGAAGCTGTAGAAGACAAAGGGAATTAAAACAAATATAAGATTAGGAATGTCAACTAAACAATCCAAATGAAATACTTAAACTGTAAAGCTGTTAATTTAATATCTGGAATACTATCAGCCATTGACTGTGCATACTAACACGTCATTTATATTAGATGGCATTTTTTTAAGCTTACTACATATGTATCGTGTTTAATATAATATACAAGTATCACCTCTGATTTCCAATTGCTGGTAGTCTCAAATCTTGCAATCACATAGCAGTTACAACAGAAACAATATCTAGTTTTAGATGACAGATTGCTTCCCACCTATTCTAAAGCAGAAGTCTCTCTTCAAAAGTGGTGGCTCTCAAATCAAGAGTGGATAAAATTGACCCAAAGAATCAAGATTACTATTCCTTAGAAATGGACCTGAACATTTATAAAGTCTGTTAGTACACACCATTAAAAAAAGAAAAAAAAAAAAAAAGAAATTCTATGGAAAAACCCCCTTTCTCCAGAGAAGTAGGATATGCCACAGGTCTGGAATCATCTGTTGAAATAGCATCCATATGGCCACTTCTCTCCAGCTGACCACACGTTTGTTGTGTTAGACTTAGTAATTGCAGCCACAGCTGAACATCCCAAACATGAAATATAGCACTGCTCTGCAACTTCAAAGCCTTAATTGTTTCATTAGCTGTAATTCACAGAGAGAGTTTATGACTTACTTCCTCATCTTTTTTCTTAATTTCTGCCTGAACTTCCTCCAGCTCTTCCTGGCCCTCATCTGGACTCATTTTCAAGCCTTCTCGAAGCATTCTAATGCCAAAAATGGCAAACAGTGCAGTCGACACATAATATGTATACACACGAGGAATAACTGTTGTGGCATAGCCAAACAAAACTGCAAAGAAAAGAAATGCATAATTTCAAAAATAAGAATGAATATAATTATTTTTCCCATATCAGTCCAAGCAAATTTATTTTTCCACCCAAGGTCTACACAAATCCTGCTCTTCCCCAAGCACACTGAGAGATTTCACCTATAATCACGTTAGATTGGTTATGACAAATAACAGCAATTCAGTCTATTTATTTACACAGCTGTATGTTGGATGACATCTTCTTCCAACCATTTTTTACATTTATTTCAGATATGTCTTCTTCATCAGATAAAGGCAAAATGAGATTTTCTACAAGATAAATTTTCTAGACACACCCATACCCAATTGCCTGAATTCATGCCTTTCTTCTTCAGCTGAGTGCAAATACCTGAAAGCCACCATTCCTTTCTCTCTCTCTCTCCTACACTCCACCAAGTTCAATCCTCCTTCAATTTCAAAGCATTAATTCCACTCAAAGACTAAAAACTACTTCCACAGTGTATCTACTTTTACGGGTATTGAAGGTGATCAGCCAACACTACTTCTCAAATAGAAGAAATATGTACCCAAGATTGACTACTCCACAAAGACTGCAGTTATGGACATGAAAGGCCTGTGTAAATAGAGGAAATTAAAACCTCACACCTAATGTTCTCAGCTGTTTGGACCACAATGTCATACTGCATGTGCAATGAGCCAACTGGAAACATGCTAACATACGCATACATCCTTCCTTACTTGCATCCACACTGTCACTACCAAAGTAAGATTATCGGATCAAAATAAAATTAAGCAGTACACATGCAGAATAACAATATTATTGCATAACCAAATAAAACAGAAGAATATAAAATTTGTTTGAAAGATTGAAAATACTGCATTATACAGAATGGTTCTTAGCATTATTTGCCATGTACAAAGCAAAAACACAGTGAAATAATCAGAGTGACAATGCAGCTTGTTATATCACAAGGGCAAAAATGTTTCCGGGCACAGCTTGAAAATAAACAACACCAAAAAACCAACACCCACATACTGATTATTTGGATATAGAGAATTTAAATGAGCAGGAATTCATGAAATCATGGTTGGAAAACAATAAAAACAAAAACTCCAGGAAGTTCTAACCACAGTTTCTAGGAAACAAGAGCAGAAAAAGGGAAAATCCCAGCTCCTTTCTTAGGGAATACATTGACTTTACATAGAAAAAGGGAGAGCTGTAATGGGCAGACAGATGTAGAAAAGAGGCCAAAGAGTGCACCTACCTATGATACTAAATAAAGGAAGCACACAGTGCAAAAGTGGAATAATTCTCACAGACTAATGTTATTAAGCAAGTAATGGAAGAAACTTTTACAATGCTATCAGAATGAACAGCACAAATGGAAACTGCTGTAAGACTGCAACAATAATTGTAACAATGCATTCACAAAAGCTATGCATTTGAAGACGCTCAGATCAACACTGAGACCCGATACCAGTTAAGAGGCTGTTTCCAGCACATATAAAACACTGAACATTATTTCAAGTATTTCTGTAGAGGACATGTTAAGAAATGAGCACAAATACAACCAAATACACGCTGCATCCGATGTACCTAAAAGCTGCTCCATTCTATGGTTACAGCTGTGTAAGCACCCAAAGCTACAGCTCCCCACGTGCCATCTGACATCTCGCTCCCCTTCCAGCTCTTTGCTCTGTACTGTGTGCTCTGCACAAAGGTTCATGACTGAATGTAATCTTCCACTTTTACAGCCAGACACATATATAAAGACACAAGTCAGTCAAGAGGAATGTGACATCCTATTAAGCATCTTTCACTTTGGGAAGGTAAAGGCCTCAGCCCCACACTCTCTTTAGGTACGCCAATTTAACAGGAGCTAAAAATAAAAAGGAATGAAGAAATCTAAAAGCTAAGGGAGTGCTTGGGCTCTCCGAATTCAATTCCTTTTCCTTAAAAGCATACAGATGTCTAGGGAATGTAAACACCTAATTGGAGTGTAGAGTCTAATGCCACAGCCCCCAGAAAAAACCTTCAAAATCTACAACAAAACAGAAGACTGCACACACCTGCTGCCTTCACACTACCTTCAATTTAATTTCAGTTAAAGTTTACTAATAAATACAGACTTATCCAGCACATTTAAACATACAAAACAAAACATGAGGGCTAACCTGATAAGCACGTCATCAGTCCTAAGGCAAGCATAGCACCAGCCAGTACAGTCAAACGGTTGTATCGCATTGCCATGATGGCTGCAATGAAGAAGGTCTTATCTCCAAGTTCTGATACAATGATGACTGATATAGCAGCCACAAATGCATGAATAAAGCCCAAATTAGTCTTGTCAGCTGACTCTTCATTGACAAGATGAACTGGAGCAACTGGTGAGGGCCCCTTCTGTAAGCAGGGGAGGAGACAAAACAAAACAAACACCAATTAATTAGGCTTGAACATGTAATTCCTGGAAGTACCAAGCTCTCTGTTTCTCCTGTCACATCGCATTGCCTAGCATGGCATTTTAACTATTCACCCTCCATGTGGTATTAGCTATTATTAACTAGTTACTGGCTGCCACCTACCTCAAATTAATAGGTGATCACTTCACAAGAAGCAGCTGCTCTGATTATTATTCATACTATTCCACTATTCATGCTACTACTGGAACATGAGAACCACTACCACAGTCAGACAGGGGAGAAGCAACTTTATATTGCTATTGCTACAGCTGTTGTCTGCTTACATTATGATGCTCAAGCAAACAAACAATTTTATGATAGAAATACTAAGAACTCTTCAAATCTTCAAGGAGAAATTGAGCGATTATGAGCACTCAGGAAAAAAGGGAATCCTTTAAAAATCTGTCAGGATCTCCTTGCAGAATCTTTGCATCTCAGCCCCATTAAAGTTTTGTGCAACTTTTCATGAACTCTTTTTTTTTTGTACACACTGTTGAACACCAGCTCTAAGGCTCCCCAGTGCTCAAACTAGCTCAGCACATTCCAGATTTCCCTCAACAATCACTGTTTACTCTCATGGAGATTAAGACACCTATAATCAAAAGCAGACCCAAAACAACAAAGCTGCTGTTCAAGTGCTTGACCAGAGATGGCCAAGAAAGTTAAAACACCTCCATGAACAGAGACAGATTGCAACTTGTTTCATCAGGAGACTTGCCAGAACTCCCTCAATAGTGCTGGCAAGTCTGAGGTTTGATGTTTGAAATTTTCATGCTTCCTATCTTGCATCAAGCAGTAGGCTGACAACTTTTTTTTCTATATGTGATCACTTGGCAATGAAACCCCCTAACCAGAATAAAATTTTAGAAGTTTGAATACAAAGAAACTAATCCTAAATACTGATACAAGCTGAAGAGTCCTGAGCTGCAACAAGATAGGCTTTCTTCTGCTTACACACACAAGACCACTTTCCCCCCATCAGCTTGTAAGTGATGGGGGCTTAGTACAAAAATATTTATCTGTTGAAAAACATCAGCTCATTTGGCCAAGCTCCACTGTCCAGCACAGCATCAGGTACCACCTTCCCAATGTAGTTTACTGAAAGCAAACACACAAGCTGCTAAAACAAGCTCTTTTCTTACAATAAGTGAGTTTGTCAATTACTCCTTCTCAGATGATGAATCAAAACCTTTTTTTTTTCTTTTGTAACAGACCCCCAAATTCCTTTCTTTTAGTATTAAAAAACAGATAATCACAGCCTATCTTCAGCTTACCAAAAGGCTCACTTTTGTTTGGCACGTATAACTGAAGCAGAAAACATTAAACTACTTAAGAAAAATCTCCTCTCTGCTCCAGCTTTATCAATATAATGCCTATTGACATTTAAAAAAAAAAAAAAAAAAAAAGGACAAAATTCATTGCCAGCTTTAACCTTAGTAACTTAGTTACAATCACTTCATTACAGCCAGTGGAGTGCTCTTCAACGAAGTGGTGAACAGAAAAGGGCGATGAAAAATAACACTTTGGCAAACTTTTTTTCATCCTTTAAAAAATCACCAAAGCTCAACCACTGGTGGCCAACCAGAACACAGATGACAATAGAGATGCTTGCTCGACTAAAACAAAAGCAGCCATCGCAACAGAATCACATACAGAACATCCTGAGCTGGAATAGAGACCTGTGAGGATGGAGTCACAGCCTGGTCTGGGTTGGGAGGGACTCTAAAGCCTTCCCAGTTTCACCCTCGTGGGCAGGGCTACCCTCCCATCAGCTTAGGCTGCCCAGGGCCCCATCTTACCCGGCCTTCAGCATCTCCAGGGATCGGGCACCCACAGCTCCCACCTGGCAGCCGCGCCAGCACCTCACCGCCCACAATTCAAACTCCACGCCGGACAGCGCGATGCACGCTCTCCTCGAGTCGCGCTCGGAAGGCGGGCAGCCCCAGCAGGCTGCTCGGAGCTGCCAGGTGAGGGCCGGGCGGCCACACGCAGCCACACGCAGCCCGCCGCTGCCTCCACGTTCCGTTCCCACGCCCTCGTCGCAGCGCTGCGCTCAGGCCGGGCGACGCGCTGCCCGGAGCTCTCGTGTTACCTGCAACGCTATAACCGCCGCTTCGCTTCCTCTTGCCCAGAGGCTGCAGAAGCAACACTCCGGCGAATTTACAGTGCCATCTGCTAGAACGTTACTTCCGCACTTCCTCTGTTTCCCTGCCCTCGCGCTCCCCCGTTCTGGAGAAGCCTCCTTCTGTCGCAGCCTTCGCGCGCACACGCGGTCAGTCCGTACGGTTCACCTTGACGACGTTCCCGTCCCCGCCCCTCCCTCCCTCCCTCCCTCGCTCCGGCCCCCGCTCTGCCCCGGGGCCTCGAGGGAAGCGCTCCCTCCCGCAGGCCGGCGCTGCGCGGCCCCGCCTCACCTCGGCCCGCGACTCGGCTCCCTGCCCCGCTCCCTGCGGCGCGGCCGCCGGCACCTTGTTCCTGCCGGGCTCTTCCTCCGGCGCGGCGCGCAGCCCGGCCGGCGCCGCCGCCAGCAGCACGAGCAGCGTCAGCGCGGCGGCCCCGGACAGCGGGGCCGGGCCGCGGCGGCCGCGCTCCGGAGGGGAGAGCGGCGGGGAGCCCATGGCGGCCCGCGCGGCGCTGAGGGCCTCTCACAGGCGCCGCGTCATCGCCCCTCGCCGGGGAGCTGCCGCCGCGCGCCGCCCGTCCCAACCGCTTCCTGCCACGGCCCGAGCGCGCGGGGCGGCGCCGCAGCTCGCCCACCCGGCCCGCCCGCCGTGACGGCAGCGGCACGGCCCGCCCACGGCGCCCGGGAGGGCGGTGAATGGAGCGGGTCGCCTCGCGGCGCCGCCGGGGGACCGCCTGAGCGCTGCCTCGGAAGGAAGGCGGCGAGGTTCGGCGCCGGGAAGGGGCGGGGCTGCTGGTCCAAGGGGAGCAGGCGCTGAGGTTTTGGGGTGCATTTACCGCGATTTCGAGAAATCGGACGAAATGGGATCGGGAGGTATCAAACGTCTTTTAATTAAATATTTTCTGTCACAAGATATACCGAAGTACATAAAAACTCTTGTCATATACAAAATGTTGTTAGTATACACAAAGAAGCGAGAACGAGCTGAACACCAGCGGCCATCTGCTCGTCCCGGATCACGACGAGGACACGCCGCCCAGTTGCTAAGTGCAATGCAAAACCCACCTCTCCCAGTGCTGAGCGGCAGCACCTCCGAGCTTCAGGCTGCTGCATGCAGTTCCTCGCACCTGCCCGAGCAGGCCCCTTAAGGACCAGGGCAGGCTGCTGTCACCCCACGAAACACCAAGAATGTCAAGGATGCAATTCTGCAAATTCGCTAGACAGAGAACCTTCCTCGATTTTCCCAGATTAAGGATAAACAAGGAGTGTTTTGTGCTTCGCTTATCGCTGCTGCTGAGTGAGTCACCCCTCCAGCACAGCTTCCTCCACCACTCCTCTGTGCTCACAGTTGCACAGTTGCCTGGTTTTCATTGCCACCAGGAAAGCACAGAAAGCCAATGCGACAGTTTGCCTCCCTCTGATTAGTTGCAAAGAAAAGAGAATGTGTATAAATATGCTTAAGTATTAGGCAAGGCATGAAATACAACAGTTCAAATGATTCCCTGCACTATCATTTCTCTTCAGTTCTCATGTATATGTATTGTGGCTTGCTGCACAACAGTAAATGCTTTCTGCATAAAACAGGAGTATAAACATGGAAAAGACCTGGTTAGCATCTCATCAGTTCTAATTAAGGGCTTCATTAAACTTTTTCTTTGCTTGTATGATACACAGAGACCTTACGTTTCCCCACATAAATTAGCAACTCTGATGAGATAAAAATTATGAGTTTTTAACCTCTCTAGTATAGAGAAAGTGTGCAATTTTGCCTTGACTTTAGTAAAACATTTCCCAGTTTGCATTAAATACACTTTAGAAGGCATATTCTAAAAAATAAACGGTATAAATGCTTTTCGATGCTTTGGGTAGGAGGTAAATTTTTCCTGATAGAACTCATGACACAAAACAGCAGCCAGTGTCTGGTTAAAAAAAACATACATCACTACAAACCACCACGTCACATTGTGAAATCCAAATGTGATGGCCATAGATATATAGATAAGTAGTTCTGCAAAATAATGAGGGCAAGAAACTCTTTCAAACCAGTCTCCAAAAGGTATACTGTGGTTCAGACTTAAGACTTCTCCTGCAAGCAAACAAAAAAATTAATTGAGAACAATGCATTAAATGAATTTTACTACTCAGAATTACAGAACACCACACTCATTAAAATGATCACATCATTCACTCCATCTGATCGGGCAGCTTTGCATGTCTTAATGAAGTAAGACATCACTCTCTGGCTGTTTGTGAAAACACAGAGAAGGAAATGTATTTTTACATATTTTTTCCTCCATTTGTATGGAGAAAGAAGTGATGGTTCAGAGGAGTGGTACAAGTCCTAAGCATTATTATTTGTCTGTCCTTAGGATGACAGAAGCTAGACCCTTCAGTGTAACTTCTGAAAAAATATACGTATATAATGTTCAGCTGTCTGATCTCTTTTCCAAATGGTTTCATTTAACCTACTGAAAATTTTAAGAGTGCCACACTATGGAAAAATACTGGTGTTTTTAAGGTGGTAGAAGCTACAGAAGCCTATTGAAATAACCACAAATATTTACTTCAGTAAATTGTTCACAGAAATGAAACACCTTACCTGATTTACTTTTTCTAAGATTAGCTAGAATCACAAGACATCTGTGCTGGTGAAGAGAGGCCCAAACGTACATCACAATGCCTATGATGTGATACCAGAAGATCTGCACAGAAAGTTCTTTTCCTGAATAAAATACGTTTCATTAAAATATGCTTCATCTTTTTCTGAGCATTGTCCCAAAACAGTCCATACATATTTTGTACTTGTCTTATAAAATTTGAGTAACAAGATGCTACTTTTGTTTTTTGATCCAGTATCTTTAGGTACACTATTACATACAACTGATATATAATTCAGTCCCAGATGTCAGTCCTGAATTCTGTTTATAATTCTTATTATCCTAATGAAAGACACTGCTATGTCTCAAGTCAATACGTAAGTACAGTTTGTCCTGTTCACAGTGAGTGGTATATATACACACTATAAGCCACTTACCCCAGCAAAAACTCTGTATTGAGGATGGTCTCCCGTATGTACAAGTGAATATATCATCTCTGAGTATCCGGCAGACACTCAGTAAGTAGAAAACAGGTCCAGATTTAAAAGGCTTTACCAACTCATACACAGTCTGAAGGCTGTTTTAAAAATAACTTGATTAAACTAGACCTGATGTGGTTCAAAGTGGTTAAAAGCTTTGCTAAAGTCACATACTTGGTAATGACCACTTGGCATAAAGCAGTCATGGAAGAAATGCTACAGTCAGCTCAAGTGTTGCAGAGAAGCAAGCAACAGTTCAGTGGAATGTGCTGGCAGAAACAGGTCATAAAATTCAAATTTCTGCTCTATTAATAGAGACACTACAGTACCAAAAGAAAGAAGAGGCTGACTGATATAAGGCAGAGAAGTGGGGAGTTCTCAATGGAAGGCAAAGGAACTGACCAAGACTGTCCTGCAGGCTCACCTGAAAGGAAAGCCTACAGCAAAAAAACAATCTCCGATTTGACAATTGGAGTTATCTAGAGATATTTGAAACTGGCAACTATTATTTTTCTTCACAAAGCATATATATCTCAATGGAAACTGATCCAAAACAATTGTAAGAGTATTTACAGTGAGATGAAGTAATGGTGAACTTCAGGGAATAACAGCGGTGATTTAAGATAAAAATCAGTGAACAAGCAAGAGAGTGTTGTAATACTGCTTGATAAAGCAACATATTGAAATGTTACTTTGGAATATACCAGTAAGTTATTATTACTTTTCAATGATAAACACACTTCTCACACAAGTCCTCTATGAAATCAAGTGAGACATTTGCCTTGATGGAAAGAAATGGGGGGGGGGAAGCATCTTTGGTAACAATGAAGCAGGTACTTACCATTCCTAACATTAGTAGGCACTTGACATAGCACAGTTGAGCCAACAGCAACATAATAACCAAGTCCAAAGCAATACTGCACAATGTGGATGACACCATTGGAAAACACGCTGGTATACAGGCATTCTGCAAGTCTTTGAAAGCTATGCAGCCAAAGGAGCAGGAGAACCAAGAGTGCAGAGAAGCGTTCACTGTCTGCTTACAAATAAAAAATAGCAACTTAGGGAGAGATAGGACCAATTTAACCCCAACAGTACTTCAAAAGAGCTAATTTTGCCCTCCCCAAAGCAAGATCCTTACCCTCTTTTTAAACTAACCTAGCACTGCCAAAAGTATTTGTACATTTGATGCACTGCTGACTGCAGAGACTGAGCAAGGCTACATCTACAAGGTGCTAATAGTTGTTCTGCTAAAAGAACTGCTGAAAGCTACTAAATGCATAGTATAGAATGATTTCCACTTGAATAATGCCAAAGGGAACTGGTATTCCAGGAAAGTCACTTGGAGCCTAGTTTAAGAGCAGCTTACAAGGTAGCATATGAAGAATACATATTAAGCCAAGGATGGTAACACAGTTTTGTAATATTTATGTGGCTGCTTCATAATAGCAGGAATACCTACCCGTATTCTGGTTCTGCAAATCTCTGCCAAAAGCACTATGGAAGATCTGAATCCACGGAGGTAATGATGCTCCAAGGAACTCAGCTTGAAAAAGCCTCAACAGTAGAAAGCCATTCCAGAGTATAGAAACTACATAAAAATGAATAAACCACCTGTGGGAACAAAAAGCACCTTCATTAAACTTCATGTTCTCCTCATTCTTTAGTTGGAAATATAGCCGCAGGACATGCTTGTCTCATGGTGAGTACATGCCTTTTTGGCTCACCTATCAACAAGATTACATTGTGTCCTTAGAACACTCAAACCTTCTCTTTTGGAGAACTGGGGGTGAGAAGAAACTTCATTAGTTAGTGAAGCAAAACAAAACAACACCCTCCAAGAACAGCTCATGTACATCTGAACAGCAATAAAGAGGCCAAGTAAGAAACTCAAATGCACGCTCCACCACAGCTTGCCCATTCGCAGTTAGTAACCCCTTTCGGTGTTCACTCCTCAGTTCCATCACCTGCCAAGCAGAGACAGTGACGTTTGCTCTGCAGATTCACAACAGCAAAAAATAAAGCTTCCTTCATTTTCTGCTTAAAAGACAAACGGAATTTGTATATAGACAAAACCATATCTCTGCCTTGAAGCTTCAAGCTCTTTCTCTCCCAAACTATTACTTGGTAGACTTATGTCCCATCAGTTGCTGGAGAACTTTCCCCACAAGCAGTGGTTTATGTCACAGCAAAAAAAAAAATAAACAAGCCCTGCCAGCTTAGCTAAGAAATGCCCTGTGAGATTTCAACAATCTCAATTATGCATGTAATGTACAGAGCAATCCAGCACTACATTAAGTGCACATGTCCTTCAAGGAAAGACGAATGCTCTGTATTTGCCAAACCAATCCGAAATTAATCATAACATTTGACAAGATGGAAGAACAGAGTTAAAAACCAGTGTGGGCTGGTGAAAATAC